TTTAAAAAGAATAATCACTGCTTTTAATTGCAGTTTAGTAAACAAAAACAATATATATATATATAAATATATTATATTCAATTTTTTGAAATTTAAAATGAATAAAACACCGATGTAAAATGATGGAAATATACATGATGCTCACTGTGCAAACCATCGACACTATCAGGTATAAGCTATAAGGTATGATAATTTACTGTCCTTTTCAGCAAATTTGGTTCCCACTGGTTACAAAGTAATATAATACAAAATTATACATGAAATATTACAGGACAGTGAAAAACATATTATGATAAACATACATAATGAATGAGGTAATGAGTAAGTCACGGTATATATGGTGGTTATAGAGATAATATCAGTTTCCATTTTGACAAAATATGAAGCTAAGTTATTTGATATGATTATTCTATAGTTCATCTTAAAATGATAATGAATACATAAATTAATATTCTTCTCATTATTATTATCGATTACTATATTCAGTAGTATAATTATTACCGACATCGTTATTATTGTTAACTTTATTGATGTCACATAGTTACTGGCTCAATCGGTAATTGATAGTTGGATACATGTATTCATGGCATATGTTTGAAATTATAATTGACATTTACATTGATGAATTGACATGGTAGGTTCATAGTAATCAAACACGTTTTGCTTTGGAATTGAATAGATGAATGGAGACGGGGATAAAGGGTCTTCGGAAACGTGCACGTTGAGTTCGCGATGCGCACAGGCGATAATTGAAATGCTCATTCAGAGGTTGCGAGGGGTCATGCATTATTATACCATGCATTATAATATGCCAGTGACAGTGCAAGTATATTGCTCTATCTATCAGTTGTCTCTATACCGGTCTTGTTATTTCTGATTTGTCTATTTTTTTGATGAGGGTGACCCAGAGGTTTTTTCTGCTTCATATAATTTGATGCGTCTTTGTACTCATGTCATTGTTGTAAATTGTATGTAGGCCTATAGCTCTGTATTCTCAAAGAATTTCAATCATTATTATTTCAGTTAGAAACAAGCTAATCATACGGATTCTCTGCTAAACACTCTTTTAATAACTGGCTACTCGGACAAGAGATCGGACAATCAAGAATGAAACTCCCAGAACTTTGTGAGTCATTTCTTTTCCATTTTTATTCTTTTTTTTTCTTTTCGATATTTTTTTCTCAAATTTTGGTTACAAATTTTCATTGAATATTTGTTCCTTCAGATGGAAAATCTCCTTGTGATATTATCAGTAGGATCTTCCGTGGTATCTCTTCTGAGCATCGTTTTGGTGACCGGTTACCAATTCATCACTATCCGGGTAGACCCTTTCGGCGCCCTCAATATCATAACGACACCGCGCTTGATTGCGACCTGCGTAGGGACGTGGGCGTTATCGCTCTCCATTTCTTCGACCATCGTCATCACCGTCGCCGACCACATCTCCATCTTTCTCCTGTGTATATCCCTGGCCACCACCATCATCACCGGTCTCTGTTACGTCTTCATTTACCGATCGGTTGCCATGGTACCTTGCGACGGCAACATCACCCGGGAACGGAAGGAGGAGAATCAGAGAGTGCTCCGTACGTTCGGTCTTGTCTTCGGGACTACTGTCCTTTGCTGGATCTGTCCGTGGATGAACTGGGCCTTTCTTAGTTTTGACGTTGACATCGGGTGTCTTTTTAATGCTGCGGATATAATGATTTGCGTTAACTGGATCGCAAACTCTATCATCTACTGGTGGCGGCTCAAGGAGTTCCGAGCGATGTTCGCGTTCTGTATGAGGAGTAGACGCATTGAGGATGTACAGATGATTCGCGGGAACTGATATCTTCTAGAGCGAGGACTGATCTTGATTGATATCCAAGGGGTGTTAGTCAGTGGCGTAGCTACAGAATGGAAGGGGCACGGGGTAGGGGGCGCAAGACCCTCTGGATCCGCCACTGGAAATGAATTTGTAATGGCCGTTTGAAAATAACAAGGGGAATCGCCCCGTTTATACGGGATGGATATTAATTGAGATAATAGACTCAGTACAGGATATACTATACAGCTTTAATATAATAACACCAAGTGTGTTGCGAACAAATCTGCTCACTCAAACAGATGACGGTTTCAAACATGGTCACTTTGCATTTTATTGCTTCAGTAACGATAATCATTATATTGAAATAACTTAGAAGCTTGAATAAGTGAACGTTAATAAAACATTTCAATTAATACAAAATCACTTAGCCGCCGAGGCCGTACAATGTACGACCCTGCCTCTTCAGTGCATACACCACGTCCATGGCTCTAAATCTTTAGGCCTGAAAAAAACAAACAATGTTGTATTGCGACCGGGGGAAAAATCTTGAAATCTACGGTCGGCTTTTAAAAAAGTTTTTTTTAAACCGTATTTAAGAGAAGAAAAAATATTAAAGCATTCAAAACTTAAAAACATCAGCCCAAAGAGTGAGAAGTAAAAAAAAAGTTTAAAAAAAAGTTTTCCGACCGACCGACCCATGTTTTGGCACCTAAAGGGCAATACAACATCTTTTTTTCAAAGGCCTAATGGTAATCACAAAGACTAAGAATCTCCTCCTCCTTCTCCTTCTCATTCACCTCTCCTCCCCATCGTCCTCCTCCTCGCCTTCCTCCTCCTCGTATCTTCCTCCTCTTCGATCCTCCTCCTTCTTTCGATCCATCGGATGACGGGCGGATGACAAGAAAATTGCGCACTTATAATTATTATAGCTGCTCCGCCGTATTATCATCGGATTCATCGAGATCATTGTCATCACCGCACCACCAACAATCGTCATCTTTTTTAGTATGATCTTGTAAACTCTCTTAATTGTAATTTCACAATCAATTCCTTCAATCTGTCATGCCAGCCCAGACAGGGCGAATTCAGTAAATAAATGAATAGAAAAAAAAAGCTATAATAAAGAGAATAAGAAGCCGGAAAGGAAAAATGAATAAATTAAAAAAATTGTTTAAATCCTACAAAAGAAAAAAATTTATCTACGCCAATACCACACATAATGTAGGTTTAATTATGTAGTCATGGTTTAAATGTCACTTCTTCATTTTTGACGACTACCCTCCCCCCCCCCCCTCCCGGCCCTTCACCTGTATTTCGCCTTGCTGTCAACGGTTTTACAAGTTGGCCTATAGTATTTCCTGGTGTACTATAATAATACTCTGTTCCAACTCCTTGGCTGTTCTAAATTATAGAGTATAGAGCTCTGATTTGATCCATTTAATGCGGCAATATTTTCTTTTTATATGATAAACTAATATATATACCGGTATATATATTCAGTGTGTGTGAAGTATTTAAGTTTCTCCCCAATTGGGTTTATTGGGACAATTTGTCACATAATTATATGTAAGTCACACTTTTTCTATGTATAGACATGGTAGGCCAAATATAATAATTTTTTCCCTTATTTCAACAAAAGGTTTGGTTTCAAATACAAATAAGAAATGTAAAGAGATAGGCCTAACGGTCGTAGAAATATGAAACTGCTTGATATGTCAATAACGTTTTTTTTTTATTTAAGTGCTGAAAATATAAGACTATTAATACCTTTTTACATATTATTGAAAACAATTCATGGAAAACTTGTGAATACCAAGAAATATATAAATGTTATTTAACAAAAAAAAAAATTTATTGTGTGAAAATGTCGAAATTTAGATGAAACTCATAAAACTAATCCTAATCAGTTTATCCATTTTTATTTTTACTACGGGTAATATTATCGTTAGATCAGCGATTCAATAGATGCTTCCTACACTGTCACTCATAAAGTTGGAATATTTAAGTTTTACCCTAATTTATAGAATTATTTTAAAAATAATTTAAAAATAATAGATCTAGATAATAGTATATTATACATTCTCAGATTTTATTGAATAATAATTTGCCAATGTGTGTTTTGCGGGACTGCTAAAGCATGTGTATGCTAACATGCTTATCAACTAGGGGACCTATGCCCTTAAGTCATAAATGACAGTAATGAGGATTAATGCCCCACAAAAGGGCACTAATATAGCACATCGACACGATTTTGATCCTAGGGCCTCAGTTACGAGGCCATTGCTTTGTCACTGAACCATGACTGTACACAGCGGGGGCTATGGTAAGAGGCAGTTTCCATAATTTAAAAAAAAAAAGAAAATGCAATAAATTTTCAATAATTTATTGCTTTTACCCCGGTTTCCAACATGAACAAAAATCTTTTGTGTGCCCATGCCTTGAGCCATAATGCATGGCCATCTAGAGGATTTTTTTGATTTTCAAATTTTCGGGGGCAAAAAAAAATTACCCGATTATCTAGCCAGTGGTGGATCCAGGGGGGGGGGGGGTGTGCGGCCCCCCTGAGGAAAAAAACAGGTAAAAACACGTTCATTTTACCTTAATTTGTTCAAAAATAGACGACGGGCCCCCCTAGCTCCCCTGGTGCTCAAGGGCGGGGGGGGGGGGGGTGCGATTTTCAAATTTTCGAGGGCAAAAAAAATTTACCCGACCCCCCGCTTACGACTGGATGTTTCGCTAAACATTTTTCTCACAAATTGGGCCCCCTCTTTTGCTGCCCTCCCCTGCCGCCGGCTGGCTCCGCCCCTGACTCGGTACTCTAGCCCTATAAGCAGGGAGGTGAGACTTTAAAGCTTATCTGCCGTAGTTGACAGGAGGGATTAAACCACTCTACAAGGTCACTGGACAGGTGGTTATCTCATCAACTCAGCTCTCAGTTAACATAAGAAAAAGAGGATCATGGGGGATCAATGGTCACCGATTAGGCATTGTTTGTTATATAGAGGGTGCAAGTAGCTACCAGTAGTGCAGTGGGCCTTTAAATGTCCTGCTAACTATAACCCTAGGTGGTGGACGTTCATGAACATAAACCCTATCGGTGAGGTATTCTAAAGTCAAACCGGAAGGAAAAATGAAAGAAAGGATAAAGCATCTAATTTTTTGAAAACTGTTTTGAGAGCTAGAGCTAGCCTAGAGGCTAGAGAGATTCTGGAACGATAATTACAATCTTGACAAAGATGGCGTCTCACGTGGTATCACGGATCACAGAGGTCGATAACAAGCCTCCAGCGCCAGAAAACCCGATAGATCGTGAAAAGGTAAGCTAAAAATGCATCGTATGATTATTCTGAAAATTAGTATGAGCGTTTGGCGGAAATACATTGCAAATTTTGGACGCAAAAAGCCCCCAAATATTGGTAATGTGTTTAGCTTTTAAAAACATTTTATATTGTAGTCCCATATGTTGTCTTTCATGTACTATAACCCTGTACCAATCACGGGCCATAAAAAAGGGTCGATACTCCGCCTCTTTCTCCACTCGCAATTAATATTTAAGATGGTACGAGTGTACATGAGAATATGTGTGTATGTGTGTGTATTTCTTTAGTAGAAATGTACCGTAGAGCCTAATATGCAAGTCTTACTCAAATCGAATTATTGCCATTTTTGTTATGACACAAAAAAAATAAAAAATTGAGGACTCTCTAAACTTTGATTTGTGCCTTGTAGATTTTTCTTTCGAATTGGTTTACTGAAATTTGCATGCCATAAATGCTAAAATTTGAAAGCCCTACGACCTAAATAGTCTACATCTTTTTCTTTTGTTGAATTCCTCCAGCAGTCCAGGGCCACTCGATGACTTCTAAATTAAATTTGAATAATTTTGATCATATTTATAATTTCTATTTCTCTAGTGTCTACACGCCGTGACTTGAGTGAAATACGAATGATGTCATGATCGAGAATTTAATAACAATTTTTTGGAAATGAAATGAATTAGATGCAATAGTTTAAATAAGAACCAGTGTTCCACAGGGTGTTGTGGCGTGCACCCGTAATCCAGCTATCAATGGAAGTTACAAACTGATTCAGCCGAGGATGCAAGTTTGAAACTGAGTCACGTCTTTCAGATGGTGACATTAAAAGACGGTCCTCAGACGTATTAAAATAATAATTTCTGATTGACACACATCTGTTAAAACCCAATTACACACACATACACACCCAGCAAAATAATACAAGTACTAATATAAGTCTCAATCTAGGTAAACTCAGTTCAAGTCACATTGTATTGAATGTCTGTATTTTGTGCCGTTTGTCTCTTCCACAGACATGTCCACTCTTATTGAGGGTGTTCTGTAGTAACAATCGCCATCACCAGGAACATGAGTTTTCTAGAGGCACAGTCCCAGCCAATGAACTGCAGATCTACACATGGTAAGTTGGGGTCAAGCTCGCTATCCGTAAGGACTGCTATTCATAAGGACCGCTATCCATAACGTGTGACAAAATGAATAGTATCCCTTACAAATAGCGAGCAAACCATAGACAATTTACCTCACTATTCATAAGGACCGCCATTCATAAGGACCACTATTCATGAGGACCGCTATCCATAATGTGTGACTAAATGAATAGCGTTTTTTTATAAATAGCCGTCCTTACGACTATCGGGCAGACCCCGTAAGTTGAGTATTGTAACAGTTTTGCTTAATGCAGAGGTGCCAGTTTCAAAGCTTTTGTCTGACTGTAGCCACTCTGTTTCAGGCATATTTTGAGTTTTTATTGTTCAGAATATATGGGAAACCAATAATTATGGGGCCACTTTTCATGCTATAAAGGAAAAACCCTGTGAATGGTTTTACTTTTAGCACTTAAACCCTGTTCCAAAATGAGCTGGTGAATTTATCACATAAACCTGTTGCAGCAAAACAGTAACAATTAATTATACTAGTATATTACTTTCTTTAGAAATAATGATTTACCATGGTATGATGGTATCATGGTAGTGGTTAAATATGTACTTGAGAAAATTGGCAACAATTATAGCTCACATAAGGGGAAATAGCTCATGAAATCAGACTCTACCAATAACAAATAATGAGTTTAATAGTTTGATTATACCGGACTGGTAAGAAACTTAAATAAAGCATGTGCATTTGTGTAAATAAGCAACCTGTTACCATGGCAATGGCCAAGGATGTACTTGAGAGAAATGACGACAAGTATTACCAAAATTCAGTACCCTCACATTAGGGGAAATAGAACCTGAAATCAGACTCAACTGATTTAATTTTAAGCAGACTTTGATGCTGTGATGAGAAGCCAGGTACTACTGTATGTGTTGGAAATCAGGAGTTTTAGATACAGAAAGCTTTTGTCTTCTGTGCTTTGGTTCATGGTTCATGGTTCGAGTCCCGTATCGGCACTAATGTCCTTTGGCAAGGCATTAATCTACATTTGCCACACTCAACCCTAGTACTTGGTAGGATTATTCCTTGAAATGCGCTGTGCGCTGATAACGGAAGCCGGAGCTAAAGCTAGGGTAATAATTTCCAAAGCTCTTTGGAAGTGCAGAGAGACGTTATTTCATTATGTATTATGCACTATACAGGAACAGAATATTGCCTTTCATTCTATTGTTTGTATTTGTTCCGTTTTCTTCCTAGGATGGATGCTACATTAAAAGAGTTATCCAGCCTCGTGAAGGAGGTCAACCCGGACGCTCGGCGGCGAGGCACGTACTTTGACTTTGCCATCGTCCACCCTCATCCCAGACGCAATCAGGCCTACCAGATGAGAGAGATCGGGATGACGTGCTCCGGGCGCAAGGGACCGGACGATTCCGTCACCCTGGGATCTCAGAGTTTCACCATTGGTGATTATATCGATATCGCCATCACCTTGCCCCCGAGGGGTGGGCTCGGAGGAGGTGAAGGGGGAGGGATGGGAGGAGGCGGAAGGATGGGAGGCGGAGGAGGGATGGGAGGCGGTGGGATGGGGATGGGGAGGAGAGGGGGCTGGGGGCGGTGATGGATGCAGTGGTACGAGTAGTAGGTAGTGGGTCAACACTCAACAGGAAGAGAGAGAGTCATGGGATGGGGACAAGAAGGGTCGGGTGGGAGGTTGAGGTTAGGGAGACGAGGAGACAGTGTGAAGGAAGTTTAGGAAGGTATTAGCATTGACATTGACTCATGGTAATGGCAAAAATCACACAAATCGTCTGTCAAGAGACGGAAGGCCTACATGTATGGCATTGGAAATCATACTTTTCTTCAGAGTTAACGCCTGTGGCTCTCAAGAAATGATATCCTTTCTCAGTCAAGGCCCAAGGGTAATAAGAATTTTTTTAAAAGATTGTTTTAGTATTTTTGGGGTACAGAAGTACATGTAAGCAAGATCTGTTTAAATGCTATAAAAAAGGGAAGGAAAAAAGATGTTATGTGAATGGAACAAGCAGGATAGAATGTCTTATAATTATGACCTTGACATTTAGCAATGTCATGTACATTTGGACATGGTATGATACATTGAAAGTCAAGAAAATAGAAGAGATGTATTATTCAGAGAAGATAAAATCTCTTTGCAAAGACATGAATTGATTATAGGTGTTGATACTTTTATTGCTGCTTACAGAATTCTGAATTTTACATAATGATTGAATGAAGATTTGAGTCTTGGCTGCTCTAGGCAATCGCCAACATTGGTTCAATCTACTCTAGGGTATATTATTTCAGAATGAAAAATCGTATTCTAGTGTAACAAATTGTCTTCAAACATAAATATCTTGGAAAAATTTTGAAGCAGGTGTGATTCATTTTTGTTTGTTTACCAAATGGTTCATATTTTAAAAAGATTTTTACTTTCCATTCCTCATCTGTATTTGTGTTATGTACCAGCTATTCAATCAGTAAATTTCATGACTCCAAAACCTTCACTTTAGTGATTATTTTTAGTATATTAGACAGTGAGGTGTACAAAAGTTGTTCTAGTTCCAAGATTAAGAGTTTTTAACAATTCATATTGGGCAAGGATGTTAGCTGTATGCCTGTGTATAACATAGGATATTTTGATGTAAATTTCAGTGCATCATTCTGCATTTGGAATAAACTAGGACATATATGGCCATGTGGCTTTTAAAGTATTGTTTTATTCTGGTCTCAGAAATTTACCGTGAACATGTAACTCATCCCTAGAATATCTTATTCTCTGATGCAAGCCAACTAGATTCATAGTCCAGCTTGATAGAACTGAAGTACATGACAAATAGAGTGGACTTGGCATTTTAACTATCTGATGGTCTTTATTTGTAATTTTTTTTGTATTACAAAAAATTAACGACAAGCAGAAGGTTTAACATTGTTTTAAAATTGTTTTAACATGCCTTGGCATTTTCACTATTAAAATGTAAATCCTTTTTTCTTTTAGTTCTTGTTTGTATAGTCACTTTTTAATACTTAAAGTTCTCTGTGTCTGCAAATGTTGAGGATGATAGCTGTGAGCATCTACTTGTAAATAAATCTTTGTATTATAAATTACTAAAAATTGCATTTTGTCTTTCTTTATTTTTTAGGTTTTGTTCCATCCATGTGTAGTGCTAGCTAATTTCCTTTGCATTCATTACATGTCTTTGTATTCAAGAAACTGTCAACCATTGAACAGTATTATTTATATTCCCCACATCTATCCATTTTGGTTTATGAGAACACTATAGAGTACCAAAGCTGTGACGTCATCAAAAATATATTTTTAGAATTTCTCAATTTTTTCTTCATATTCCGAAAGAACACCAAAAATAATGTCCAAATGTAGAAAACCAATTGAATATGTTAAAGTATTGGCTGAGATATGACCATCTGAATAAATATACTCCCCATAGGAACTCAGTGTTATATGCTCTGGCTCCTAATGGTTAGGAGCCAGAGCATATAACACTGAGTTCCCATAGGACATATATTCATTCAGATGGTCATATCTCAGCCAATACTTAACATATTCAATTGGTTTTCGACATTTGGCCATTATTTTGGATGTTCTTTCGGAATATGAAGAAAAAATTGAGAAATTCTAAAAATATATTTTTGATGACGTCACACTTCACCACTCTATACAATACACAATTGATCAACTGAAGTATGAGAAAGCATGAATTTTATTCAAGTACCGTAATTACCCTTCACCAAATGACATACAATCCTCTGTAAATTGACAAATACATAATTACAAGTTGAAATTTCATACAAAGTTAAATATTTAGTAATAAGCGAATACGTCACCACAGATAATGCCTCATAAGCTCTAAATTCAACTTTTATATATACTTTCATAACTGAATTGAAAAAAATGAAAAAATCTTTCTCCTACCCTGAGTTGGGGTGACACATCTCTTACAAACAATACACAGAGAACTGTTCATAGTATGAAATCCATTTTACTGTGTAATTATAGTTTCCTTTTTTAAATAATTGCACATTGTTTAAAATTCTTTAGGGCAATACACTTGTAAATTGTCTTTACACAATTTTAGCAAAAATGCATCTACACTCTCATGATTAATGTATCTCCTTTGTGTTGGATCTTCAAGTAATTTAATACAGATAGCTAATATCACAGCTACCAAGAGATTACAGTAGAACCTCATTTAATCAACTCCTTGGGATCAGGAATGAACTTGTTTTACCAAAACCTTGTTATATCCGAGATACAAAATAAAGGAATACAAACAAGTGTAGCCTTGCAAAATGACCCTGTTTAAATGAGTAAAATCCTAGTCACAAGGGTAACTACCTTGCAATAGGGAAACCTTGTTGAATCAAGGCTAGGAAGCAATAGAATACAAGGAGAGCGGACTAGCAAAACTACATTGTCACTGAAAGTTTTCCACAATAACGAGGTTGTTCTGTTAAGATGGTGTCCTTTATATTAAACAACATTACAGTAGTTCTCCTTTACCCTGCTCATATAATTGGTTCATGCAGTAATATGTACAACTATTTGATAATTGATATACACTGCAGTCATTACCATAATAGCACTTTGGGTCAAAGATAACTTCCAAACCTCGATACGACAGGAAGCCAGCTAAATTATTCCATTTATTCCTCTTGAATAAGGAAGAAATTATTATAAACCATGATTATATTTTGTTTTCTGCCAGCCATGTTTTCAACTGGCTCTTCGTCCGTTTAAGTTTTCAATACACATTAATTTTCATTCAGACATACACAGATAAACAGATGTACATTTTCACAAATGTCGTAATATGTCAAAATTGTGTACATTGGTCCCCATTCCTGAAAGCATAAAGTGTAGGCATGAAATCAAAATTAAGTAGAGCTGCAGGAGAGAGAGCAAGACGCCCTTTCACACAAAGTCTGAAAGAAATCATCAAAATTGATGAATAGAGCCAACAAACTAAACCCAACCACAACAACAAAAGATAAAACAAATTGTCCAACAAAAATAGAAAAAATATATGATACTGACCATTCTCCTAGCATTTACAATCTATTATTTTTGGAAATTTCATAATTTACAAAAAAACACAGATACTTCAACAGAACATTTTCAGTGAGTTGTCATTAAAATCATGATAAAGTACATTATATATCAACAGGAAAAAAGTGAAATAGAGTTACAAAAAATAATCAAAGGGAGACCCGTATGCGGGTTCCTTTCAATGATAAAAGAATATGTACATACATTACTTTAATATATATATATACTCATGTTCTTTTATCTAAGTTATGTTTGGTTCGAAATCAAAGAATATTGTTCACCGTCTGTTGGAAGGAGGAAGGTTGAAATAGACATTCCCTCTTTAATTTCTTTTTTAAAATTTGAGCTTAAATGGTTACCTCTCTAAATTCAATGGCAATGCAGCATATCAACATATAGTGCAATGGTAGCATCGGCCAATTCGGTGTTTCATGGATTAGCATAAGATTTCAATGGTTAATGAAAAAAAAGAGTAAAACCTGCTTTAGTGACCACCTGTATAGAAAGACCACCTGTCTATAAAGACTCGCTAATTTTTCTTCCTTTCGAGTGTTTCGCATTGAAACATACGCTATGGAAACCTGCTTGGGTGGTTTTAATATTCAGGTTTCAGCTGCTTTAGGTATATTTGAGAAAGCTTATTCTGAAAATGCTCACCAATTCCTACAAATTCATTTCTTCAAGAATTTTTTGCTTGGAGCTTACTTTCAGGCTAATCAATTAAACATTCTATTTAATCATCTTAACTAAATTTCTCTGACCGTCAATTCATAGGTTGCAAATGGCTGATACTACCTTCAAACACTTTGCAACTTGGGAATTTATTCCCACAAAAGAAGGACATTTTAAAAAACTGATTTATTGAATGAGACTGTTATTTGCCCGACTATACAGTCTCTACACACATGGCAATGCCCATCCCTCCCCCGATACAGAGTGCAGCCAAGCCCTTCTTGGCATTGGTCCTCTTCATGGCGTTGAGTAGGGTGACGACGATGCGGGTGCCCGACACGGCTAAGGGGTGGCCCAGGGCTATGGCTCCTCCGTAGATATTGACCTGCACAGAGAGAGACAGAGATACAGAGAGGGGGGGGGGGGGAGGGATGTGTGCAAGAGGGAGGGAGAAGCAGAGAGAGTGAGAGAGAGAGAGAGAGAGAGAGAGTGAGAGGGAGATGAAGACAATGAGAGAAGAGAGAAGAGATAGAGGAACAAAGGAGAAAGATAAACAAAAAGGGGATACACAAGAGATGATAAAAGGTAGAAATATAAAAGTCCATAAGAGAAACAGGGACAGAGAAATGGTGTACAAAATGGAATGAGAGAGAGAGAGAGAGAGAGAGAAAGAAAAGATATATGAATGATGAGTCAGTAAACAAAAATGAGAATTCATTTTTTATAAGTTCATGATAAAACTTTGGTCTTAAGAAGGGTATTCTTCACCTACTAGTAAATGTATCCATGCTAACGTGTATGCCTTGCTCTCATAAGTGCATTTCAGTCTATTTAGATACCGGTAAGCTTATATTCTGTAAAATATACTGCAAAAGTCAGCATGTTCATCCCTGAAAATAAATTTACCTTTGAGGTGTCAATACCAAGCTCCTTGGTGACTGTGAGAGACTGCGCTGCAAACGCCTCATTCAGTTCAAACAGGTCAACATCACCAAGGCTCCAGCCTGCTTTCTCAAGCTATGGAATGAAAAGAACAAAAAATAGAATAGTAAATATGAGTGATGCATTCTGTTCTAATTACTACACTTTAGCTGCAAGCCCTTCTAATTGACGTCCAGATAGGCACTGACCAGCTTCTATCCAAATGAGGTCCTGAATGACCACATGACCACTATTATCAACAACAACAAAAGGTCTGATTAGGTGTAAATGCAGAGATTTCATACCTGTTGCACAACTTTTTAGTAATAATATGCCTTGTTCATCAAGGGTAGCCTCATCATTCTGTTCTCCCCAAGGCCCCCTGCAATCAGTTCTAAAAAAAAAAAGTTGTATTGCCCTTTGTCACCGACCCTAAAATCTTGAAATCTACGGTCGGCTTTTTAAATTTTTTTTTTTTTAACAGTTTTGTAGAAAAGAATTTTTTTTAAGGCATTCAAAACCGAAAAATATCAGCGAAAAGAGGGAGTTGAAAAAGAAATTTAAAAAAAAGAAAAGAGATTTCTGACCGACCGACCCATTTTTGGCACCTCAACATCTTTTTATTTAGGCCTCATACTGCCCAACGACTGATATTTGACAGAGCTCCTTCTCCAACCATAAGGTATCTAACTCCCCGCACCTTCAATATTACAATTCATTTGACCATTCGGGACAACAAAAATGATCCTAGATAATAATGCTTTGAGCAGTAAGAAATCTTCTCCCCTTCCCCCTCCCCTCCCCCACCAGATACAAATCTGGGATGGATCTACTTACAGCTTTCTTGATAGCAGGAATAGGACCAGACCCCATGATAGCTGGATCCACCCCAGCCTGGCCCCATGAGACTATCCTTGCTAGAGGTGCCACGCCCCTCTTCTGAGCCTCGGAGAGCTTCATGAGAACCACTGCTGCTGCTCCGTCGTTGATACCTGGACAAGAGGAATAGTAGAAGTAGTATAAAAGATGGATCAGGGAGGTAGTGCATATCTAGAAAGAACGCGACCAAGTCATGAACCACGACATGGGCCACTTTAACCTATCATGACTGTTCATTCCCATTCTCTCGGACCAGAGCCATCTATATACAGAGTTTGGCCAACTTGGTTTCCCTGGGTGACAACATGGCATATATTCTTTTGTTTTGTGCTTGCTCAACAAAGCAGTAGTCGCCATGTTGTCTCCAACTCCAACCAGGTTTGCCAAACTCTGTGTATAGATGGCTCTATCTTGGACTGTTCTACTACCCCAGCTAGTGGCGATAAAACATCAGTATTGACGATGCCTGCAGCAACGAGTAGGCAATTTATGGAAGTACTACCAATCAGATGAACCTCTTCCAAGGAAGTAGGAAATGTACTCTGGCAGATCTTAATTCTGCATTGTTGAAATAGGTTTTTCTGCATTTCTTAAAGTTTAGTGTCTGTGTGAGTGATTGTAAATCGGGTTTTTACAGACATCATAGACACCAGTTGGTTTAACTCATTAAACTTGAAAAAGGGCTAAAACATGTTGAGCCCTGCACATTTTCTACAACATGTTGCCTGAAAAGGACCTGAAATAAATACATGAAAAAGCTTGAGATCAGCCAAAATCAAGCAATGAGACGTGTATCAATCATATTTAATTATTTACATCTGGGGACCGGTCTTTGACTCAGTTTCAAACCAGGGTCTGACAAAGTCAGTTTGTCGAAAACGGCAACTGAAGTTTTGAATGATTGTCATACATGATCTTTCACAAGTTAATCACGGCTTCTTGTTCTTTGTTAAATGAAATTTGTATGAAGCTTTTTCCCCTGGGAACAAACCTCAGTCAGGAAGAAAAAATGGTATGGAAGGGACATGGAAGGAAGCGACCAACTGATGGCAGCACATCGCTGTCCACGTTTTTAACAGCACATCACTTTATATGTATATATTTTGCACCTGGATTGATGCCTACACACACATTGGACATGGCACACCACACTGCAGTGCGTAATCGTTGCATGAAGTAGCATTTAACGAGGAAGAAGAAGAAAAAGAAGAAGAAGTAACAGGAGGGTCAAGACCAACGTGGGCTTACCAGATGCGTTGCCAGCAGTAACCGTTCCCGTTGCATCCTTGATAAAGCACGATCTGAGTTTAGTCATCCCCTCGATGGTTGACCCCTTCCTTGGGTACTCGTCAACGTTGACCTCTACCGTGGCCTTGCGGCTCTTAATCGGCACAGTGACGATCTCTGTAGCAAAGATGCCTTCTGTCTGGGCCTTCTCGGCCTTGAGCTGCGACCCCAGAGCAAACTGGTCCTGCTGTTCACGTGTGATTTCCCATTTCTTGGCCAGGTTTTCAGCTGTCAAAATTGGTAATTTTCACAAAATAATGTTATTCCATACAACTTTCTGAGGCATAATGAGGATTTTCCAAGGACAGAATAAGGAATATATTGCATTTGGCAAGCTTTTAAATACAGATGTTTCAGACAAGATGAAGAATACAGAGTTCTCTTTTAAGGTAGAAAAATATGAATCATTTCTCCCAAATAGGAATGGTTTGCAGCTTTTTAAATTCTTTTTGTATTCCATGATAGGTTTCATTTATGCAAGGTTCATGAAGCTCTGTAATAAATTTGAATGTTTTTTCCTTCAACACCTTATCAATTGAAGAAGATACAGTAGATCTTGAGTGAATGCACCATGAGTACATGAACATTCACTTGATGGGACAATTAAAGACCATGTCGAAAGCGAAAAAATGAAATAGATGCATTATACATCAACGGAAAGCTAGCTACATAGGCGAGCTGATCAGGTTCACATGTTATGTTGTCACTTGTCAACTGTACGTTTCTTTTATGCAATACTGAAAGAGAACATATTTTGTATTCCTTTAAATTCTATTCTACATTCATTGTGCTTTCTATTGAGATCAAGTTGCATTTTCATTGGATAGGGTCTTTAAGTACCAATTATATACCTGTAATTCCCATGTGGTAATTATTGAATGCATCCATAAGGCCATCATTTACTAACAGATCCACCAAAGGCTTGTCACCGAAGGACAGACCGCTACGAAGATGGGCTGCATGGGGCGCCTGAGGGAGAACAAACAATGAAATACATACGTATCATGGATCTATGACATATTCTTCATCGTCAAACGCGTCGTGGTGGACTTCATAGAGTTAGGCTAACTGAATTCCTAACATCAGTCAACCTGGACCCAACAATAAACCAAATCCTCACCTATATCTTGAACAAAATAAATCCTAGGTCAAAGAGTCTCTTATACACACTCAGTAAAATAAAAAGAGACCCCTTAAAGCCTGTCTGCACTAGTTTGGCCAGGAGGGATTAGACCACCCAGTGTGGTCACTGACAGGTGGTTATCTCATCAACTCAGCTCTCAATTAACATAAGAAAAAGAGGATCATGGGGGACCAAAGGGCACTGCTTAGGCATTATTTTCTATATAGAGGAAGCAAGTAGCTACAAGTAGTTCAGTGGGGCTTTAAAAAGCACCTTAACCTTCTAATGTCCTGGCTAGTTGCAACAACAATCTAATGAACTCAATGTGAACATGGTTTATGACCCCAACCTTGACTTGATGTATGAGCTTTCAAAGATAGCGATACGTGGGTCTGTATGAAACTGATTTTAGTTATATAGACATCAATTATCACCCATCTGACTCATACCCAACCACAATAGACGAGTCTCTTCTGTATGCAAAATACTCCTATGTAATCTCATAAGGCTTCGAACCTTCATACTTTCTGACTCTTCATGATCAAAACCTAATAAACTCTTATGTTTTTATTTAAATGCTCCTCCTGAACACAATAAGTGAGCCTCCATAGTTGTGATAAAAAAGTATGCTTGCATTTCATATCAATCGAGACTCTTGTTTTCATGATATCTTGTAACCGAATATTTAATGAATTATTATATGATGCTTCTACACACTTTTTTATGCCGCTTCCTTGCCCCCTCTTCCCTGAAACATTTCAAAGATAATGATAGCTTGGCTTCCTGACACTGAATTTATTCATGGACCATTACCAACCTGGCTCATGCTTTCCTGACCCCCTGCAACCACAATGGAAGAGTCCCCACACATGATCGCCTGTGCTCCTAGTACTATTGTCCTCAGGCCGGAACCACACAGCATGTTGACGTTAGTTGCTGGTACCTGCAAATGATAGGAAGATACCGAGAACGTTGTAATTAAATTCCGATAGGCGACAATGCCATGCAATACATTTATATCCCCATTTATAAAAGGTACTGTACATCAAAGGTGTTAGTCAGCATTTAGAAATACATGTTTAAAAATCAGTTTAAAAATCAGTTTAAATGGATCAGCTTTTCAATTTTCAAATATGAGGAGGACAGATACCCATGTTGATTTATATTTTCCTGCACACATAGTATGTGGTCAATTTCAAGCCAAATTTCTTATCCAAATTTAAATTGTCCACCACTACAGATGCTCAGGACAACTGCAATCAACTTTGAACTTGAAGCCATGATGGCTTGCATATATATGAATTTGATTGTTTGATTCTTCAAAAACTTTTGACCTGACCTGGGCCTTTTTGCATTGATGGTAACTGTTCCATTTCTGAATACCGTATTTTCATTGGTTGTCAAGTGATGTTGTCATGGTATTTAATACTGATGGCAAAGATGCAATCTCAATAATATATATGCAATGGGGACCAAGGTGTAACCCATGATGACCTCTTGACACACCAATGACCCCTGACCTTTCAAATGACCTCTAACCAATATTCCTAATCATTAGTCACCTCAACTGGTATCCCTGCATTCACACTGGCCTGTCTGGCAGGGTTCTGGCCTTGACCTGCCGTATACACCTGACCCATGATGACCTCTGACACATCACTGCTACTGACCCCTGACCTTTGCAGGGCTTCCTTGATGACTATGGTTCCCAGATCATGGGCTGCTACAGTTGACAATACTCCATTCAGACTACCTATAAACAATAGAAGCAATGATGAAACATCTATCGTGTAGCATTTATTCCCCGACAATGTATCTGAGCACTTTACAGAAATACATGTATAATTACCCCGGTTATTGGATTCAGGCATGCCCGCACACAATGTATGCACATTTTAAATTCCCAGGAGAGCATTCCAACCACGCCCCCTTTTACAGACTCTTACAATGCAGAGCAAACTACAATAACTTTTGCATCCTAACAGGTACCTATGTAACTAACACCTCTGTTGAGACAGGCACACATATATTAATGTCTTGTACAAGGGAATTAGTTCCAGGGTAGGATTTTTTGTGATTTATCTTTTTTGGACAGAGGTGATTACTGAGACTATCGCTGGGAGAAACAACATGTGAAAGTTATTTACGATAATAACGATTCAGAATACAAAGACGCACGCACAGATTTCTCTTAAATTAGCGAACTTCCTGTGTGCGCAACTTTAAACACAAATCGCTATTATCGTAAAGCAAGTATCACATTAGCAAAGCAATAATCGTTTTGTACGTGTAGACCTATACTGCATGTCTTTGCATTTCAACCGGAATCAAAATCGCGAACTCTCGTAAGACTAAGAGGTTATCGTTTTTGTAATATAAATTGTACAACTTATCAATATCATCAGGAACACGTGGAAGGTAAGCAAATCAGTATCACTCCGATATCAAAATCTCATAATTTATTTCAAATATTTGACCAATTTCAAAGTACTTTGTATGAGAAGAAAGAGTCCACTAGACGAGTTCGGACACATTTTAATTTAGGGTTTGTTTGCCTCTTCACACAGGGTTATGGGTAGGGAGGCCAATGCCCAAATCTAACTTTTTAATTACTAATTTGTTTATAATAAAACTAAGATTAAAAGAAAGCATTTACTTTCACTAAGAAAATCCACCCATCTGCCGACTCCAGAAGTTCCATCAATATCCAGCTCTTTTTATCCAGCTTCCTTCTACGCCTATCCGTACGTAAGAGCCTTGAAACAATTATATTTCATGTCGCAAAGTTACGTTCATAATTAGACAGGCCCGAGGGACAAAGTTCATGATGAAGTTTAAAACTTCGCGCGAAAGTGCAATCACTCAACAGCGGCTAGCCTTGAATCGGTCGCACACGTACACACTGACACAGGCAAGCCCCGATGCAGGCTGAAATCCAGCCATCAATGTGCGAACGATTACATCTTCTACTACTACGAGCCGAAGACGATGGTTCAAAAATGAAGAAGAGGTATCAAAATTGGCAGGAAAGAAATATATATAATTCATTGATATTTACCTTAGATGTGTATTCCAATAATTTGATTTCCTCATGAGTATTCCTTATTATCAACGATCGAGAAGTTACGAGGTCCAATTAACATCCATCTTGCAGCGAACACAATCATAGCGCACATCCATGCAACGTACGTGTACTAATATTTCTCTCACTCTCTCTCTCTCTCTCTCTCCCTTTCGCTATACGTAACATACACACTCACTAACCATGTATCATACAACACACACCTTCAAATCATGGCTTTCATTTCAATTCTCAATTGGAGTATAGACTGCTCACGTAGACTTTTTTTTTTACTGAAATATCTTTTTTAACACTTCTCATACATTACTGCACGACACTCGTATCTAGTGCTGTGAGAATAAGGTACTAGGGTCTATAAATAAGACTACGCTTTGCGCACGATCTGACCGGAGCTCAAACATATGTCGCAATACCCTTTAATTATTTTTGGCGCGAACAATGACGTCACTGTTCACAGTTTTCCTTCTCATTTTGAGATGGATGTAGCTATAGGGCTCAAACCAACGCAAGATTGACAGAAACATCGTACTCTAGCTCTATCTACTTTCGAATGTTCAGTTTGTAAAAATCTGTATTTAAAAAGATATAATCTTTTTTCTTTATATTTTCTAGTTGTTAGAAGTGGCAATTGTGAACATCTGAAATGTTGATCTCTATCAAAAGTTCTTTACTCAAAACGGATCCCATATTTTTAGGGTCTACCTTCTGCCAATGAGAAGGTTTTTAGTGAGCAAACCTCTACGCCCTCTAGGATTTTCTTAGTCGGTGGTGCGAGCGCGTCAAGGTCGTCTGCAACCACAATAATTGGATTAAAAAACGTCAAAATCTGCAAGATTGTCAACAAATGGTGAAAGACTGTTACAGATCCGTGATTATAGGTATGTTGTGAAATGTATAATTGTATTTTCTTTTCTTATTTTCTTCAATTTTTATTTTTACATCATTTTTTTCCCTTTGCTAATTTTTTGAAGTGGGCGACGAGCGCACAAATCGTAGGTGTAGAAACCTTACGCCCGGGCATTGGCCTCCCTATTATGGGTGCTAATTAAGACTTGGTGATATTAATATCATATTTAATATTTTCATATGTGATCATGACTGAGGAAGGTCATCAATCAAATATCACATTCACAATTCTATTTTCTTGAATTAAAAAAAAAAATGTGTGCAACAAATTTACAAAATTTGTTGGACACCCCACAATTTGCTTGCTCATGACATGGCAAGTCCTGTCTGAAGTTAGTCAAAATTAATACCATGCTACGTTTCTAAAGGCTGACATCCACTTCCCCTAAATACAGTCGTAGTTGGGCGCTGGCTGGGGACCCGCAATCGAAGCCGAACATGAACCCTTAGAGTTAGACCAGCGCTGGCCAGTCAACCGAGATCCGGGACCGAGATACACCCTGTAGGCTGTAGTCAAGTGGGCGTGGATTTTACACACTTACAACCATGACAACACACAATTCTTCGCGAGTGGGACCGTACACGGGCGGGCGGCGAATCGTGACAAATTGATGGGCGGAATTCGCTCTTTATTCACTTACCAATGGCAGTGCGAACGGCAGAAACGATGACAACTGGATCAGACATGATGGCTGATGTATTTCGTTGCGGTGAAACCAAATTATCTAAAGTAAAAGCACTCTTTGAGTAGAGATTTAACGTTCTGCAGACACAGCTGACGCCACAAAAGAATCCAGTTGTTTTAATAAAAGTGATCCGTATTGACTCGTATAGGGAAATGAATGAATTCAAGAAAAGCCTGTTGAATCAATCTAGTAAAGATCGTCCGAGACTGACCTTTGACACAAAACTTTGGACCACTCAGCTCAAGTCAAAGATCGATGGACAGGAATAGACCCCGGGGAATATTATACTTCTTATCTGTCTGTTTCAATTTTCTAGGGGGATTTAAAAAAAAAAAATAGAACTCTGGGATTATGATGATGCAAAATACATGTCATCGTGAAAATATAGTCCCTGCTAATTAAATATCTCCCTCTCTTTCGCTTTATCCCCCATATAATACCAGTCTCTCTCGACCTATCTCTCCTTTTCTCACATCACATGCAACCATACAGTTCCATGAAAGTAGGCCTATTACATTTTCATCTTTTTCTTCATTTTGTGTATATTTTGTTATTATTGTTATTTTTCTATATACACTGCATATAACTGTAAAGTGGTTATGAAATCACAACAAAAGTATGAAAATATGAGTGGTAACATTATCTTTAATCCACATCTACTGATGCAATATCGACAACAACAACAAATTGAAATATAATAATAATAATAATAATAATAATAATAATAATGTCAACGAGAGGCAAATAAGTTTTTAACTTTAAATGCCTACTTCCAAGGTATATAATAATAATAATAATAATAATAATAATAATAATAATAATAATAATAATAATAATAATAATAATAATAATAGCCTTATTAGTCCACTCCAAATTTTATTAAACCGAAACGGAAATCAAAATAAAAATTAATTAATTAAAAATATAATTCTAGGGGTATGGCTACTCAGGAACTATATTATAGGTTTTCCCGCCCAACTTCGTAAACTTAGCATCCGAATTAACGTTACGTTCATTCAAGTTCGTGCGAAATTGAATGACTATGTAGATCAACATTCAAAAAGCTAATTGCGTCGTTCAATTTGATTTAGTAGCATGCGATTTCATACTCTTGTCACGGAGAAGTGCAAAACGAGCATTCAATTTAGAAAAGCGTGCAAAGAGCATTCAAATTCGCGCCAGACAGACGGTGGTATGTATTCGAGCATTCAATTTCGTGATTAGTCATCCATATGTGACATTTGTGCATTGCTTTTCATTTGATGTTAATTTGTCACTTAATATACTTCTGTTTGAATAATTTAATGCTAAGTTTACTAGTAGGAATGATTATGCGTATTCGTTAGCAGATATATGTCATTACACAGGTAACTGTCCCCAGAGAAGGCGCACAATTTGTGACTTCTCTTCTTCTTCTAAGAACAAGCTATATAATTATACACAGATCCTGGACAGCGGTAGAGTTGAGCTTTAGACATGGCCATGATGGAAACAAAATACAATGATGAATAAAGAAAAATATGTGAAATGAAAGGAAAGAAAGATTACCCACTCAATCCAGATTGATAAAAAAAAAAACATTTAAAAAATAACCTCATTTATAATGAAAGATATGAAGACATGACTGTATAAAGAAATGTTCATCAAAAATAAAGATCGACAGAAAGAGAAAATATTGAATGCAATATAAATATATCAGACAAATAAGAAGATTGTATAATGTGAAATCATGTCAGAAAAGATCGTAGAGAAAAATAATAAACAAATGAACATGAAAAAGTGAATATCCGAATAAACATCGAGCCTCGTACAATAATTATGAGGTCTAGTTTTAATTTGAATGACCCGATTGCAAAAGAGGTTGCCCATAGACGAAAATGAAACCGCAATTCGACAAAGAATTGTCCTCCCACTCAACTTTGGCGAAATTGAATGACGCTAACGCATTTCCAAATTGATTGAACCAAACGTTAATTTGAATGTGCTTGTTTCGAAAATTCGGTGACTCGAAACGAAATTGAATGCAAAAAGTTTAAAAATGAAACAGGGAAGCAACGAGTGGAGAAAATTTGCTCGAACATGAATGCACGTTAGTGAAATTGATCGCTGCTTTGACGAAATTGGCCGGGAAAACCTATATCATGAATAATTACACTTTTTCTCTTTACAAATGAAATTAATATAAAATATGTTTAGTTTTGTATGCATATATGTGAACATGAAAAAAAGAGGCATAATTTATATACATGTTTATCCTAATCACGTGGTAAATCTAAATCTAATGCGAAATCCCGCATAAACAATTGAAATCATTTCACCTTTTCATCCAAAGTCCCCTAATAATGGGTACCATCTTCTGCCAAAATGACCCTTACAAATGGGTATGGGTTTAGACGCTTCAGCCGCACACCCCCGTTCAAACCAAATTTGAGTACCTTCCATCTTATTACATCTTATAAAGAGGAAAAAACCCATTCCTGATGGGGTTATAAGCACATTCTCATAACAGCAGACGGAAAAGACCTTTGATAAGTGACATAATTATAACTATAAATGCAAGCGAGCGAAGCGAGCGACCTTTGGGGGATATGAAATTAGGGGCACGTGTAATGATGAGAGGAAAAGGGGAAACTTATCGAAAGGGATAAGACACTTATTAGAAAAGAAAAAGGAGCCCGTGTCAAAGTACAATGGGTAATTATCAGAGGTGAAAATGGGGTACTTCTTACACCTAAAAAGAGTGGTGGATCCAGGGGTGGGCCGAAACGGCCGTGCCCCCCCCCCTATTGGCGACGCAAAAAAATTGAGAAGGAAAAAAGAGGTAGAAAAAAAAGGCGCGTAAGCAGGGGGGGGGGGTCGAACCCCCCTCAAATTTTTGTCAAGTTGTCAAGTTGGTCCTGATGTGTATAATGCGTAGACCAGGGGTTCTCAAACTTTTTCTTTGACGGTCCAGAAGCGATTTCTATGAAAGCTGTAAGGTCCGAAATGACACTTGTATACTGAAGATAATGAGGCTTGTTTTTGGTCTATATCTGATCCAAGGAGAATTGTTACAGTTTAAAAAAAAACAGAACCACCAGTGCTTCCACTAGTTTAAATAGAGTTTCCTGAAAAAGAACACCCAATATCCTGGAATTTGAAAGAATTTTCTTAAAACTTTCAAAATACCTCTTACGTGGATTTCTTATTTGGATGAATCGCTATGACGTTTTAATATATATCAATTATTGAGTGGGCTTATTTTGCTTTCTAATAGATCCATACAACATGGCAGAGCTTGAGGGGCCTGGCAGAGCCTTTTCAAGAGAGAAATTGTCTTTAGGAGAAAAAAAGAGGTTATTTCTAAAATGAAATGAAAGGGATATTGACTTTCAAGAGAGAAAATTGTCTAAAAGAGAGGAAGAGAGGTTATTTCTAAAATGAAATGAAAGGGCTCTTGTCAAATAGCCCTTTCATTTCATTTTTTCTCTCGAAATAAACCCCTTTCTCTCTTATAGACAATTTTATGAGATGGCATCTTCAATCTGAAGCCTTTTTGTGCTCTTTGAAAATGGCACACTGAATGGGGGGGGGGGGGGGCAGTGCAATTTAAATTTCAAGGGATGGATTAGAGTTTTTATCGCTCTTGAAAGTCAAATAGCCCTTTCATTTCATTTTAGAAATAAACTCTAATACATTCCTTGATATTTAAATTGCGCCGCCCCTATTGTGTCCTCTTTTTAAAGAGCACAACAGAGCCCTCAGATTAGGCAGCAAGTAGCAAAACAAACCCGTAACACTGGACACAACATTCAATGGGATGATGCCCATATCATTGAGTTTGAAACGCACTTCTGGTCAAGAATGGTAAAAGAAGCATCTGCATAAAAAGGATGAATCCTTCACTGAATAGGGATTCTTGCTATACACTTTTACCTTTGTGTAAATGATAAAAGGTCCACGGGCGTGGTTGTCAGAAGCTTAAATTACATAAAAACTCTCTCCAATTTTGCAGGGGGAGAGCCTTCGTCGGGAGTCTTTAATAATAAAAGGGATAAATCCTTCACTGAATAGGGATTCTTGCTATATGTTACCTTTCTTCGCTCCAGTGATCTCGAGGCAGCAGACAGCAAGAAATTGTGTAAATAATTTGCTGTTGCCGGGAGTCTTGCATGGGGCGGAGCCCCAGGAAGTTCTTGAACTTTATTTTTTTTTAGGAAATTCCAAATAGTCGTCATGAGCGATAGAAATTGTAATTTCCTCCCTGAGAGTCACATAACCCCTTTCATTTAATTTTAGAATTTAATCTCTCTTTCTCTCTTAAAGACAATTTCATATAACTTCTGTTTTCGTATTGTTGTTCGTATTGTGGGTTCACGTGCCCCCTAACCTGCTCATCATTAGTCTTGCACCTAATTTAAAGCGACTAAGAGAAATTTCCCCTAAAGCTCGCTCGCTCGCTCGCATTTATAGATGATACAAATATATGTCACTTTAAAACAAATGCTTTTTCAGTCTTCCGTGATGCTTATAACCCCATCATGATTTGGTTTTTTCACTCTGCGACCTCACAGATCTTACATTTTTTTGTCGCTCGCTTTGCTCGCTCGCAAATGAATATTCAGACAATCACACTCAGCCGAAAGTGTGATGCTTAAGCAATAACTTGTATGATATATAAAGAAAAACAAATATTGAAATCGTCCCTGATAATGGAATCACAATGAAAGGGTATATACCAATGTCTAAAAAAATGTATATTTTCGCTTTGAGATTTCGCTTTGTAGGTGCCCTTTTTTGTTGGTGCTTTCCACTTTGGAAATAGCTCCGCCGCCCCTGCTTACGCATTAGCGCCAGCGTTAATTTCACGCTTGCGCGCACAGGGGGTGTCTGTGTGTGTGTGTGTGTGTGTGTGTGTGTGGGGGGGGGTTCCTTTCTAGCTCTGAAGCTGATTTTTTTTTTACCTAGATTCGTGCGATTCGGTTAATACTTTTAGAGGGAGTCTGAGGGGTGATGTGCCCCCCTCTGAAGCTGACATTTTTTGGATTTGGATTTTTGAAACTGGATTCGTGCGTTTTGGTTAATACTTTTTTGGGGAGTCTGATTCGATTTCAAAACACCTGCAGTTAATGCGGGATGGTGTTGCAGCCTCTCTTTCCCCGAAAATTTAAAAATTACCAATATGCATTTGTTATATCTTATCTCGTATATTTTGGTGACAATTAACACTTTTCACAACATACATAAGCTCAAATTTCCGCTCACTCGCCAAATTATTAAACCAGGAAATAGATATTGGGGCAAGAGGCTTCAGCCCCCACTGATGGAAATGTCAAAAAAATTGCGCGCTAGCATAACTTGAAAACGGGGAATGTTGATATCGGACAAGAGATGTGACGTGAGCATGTCCCCTTTCCAAAATAATTGTGCCCGTTTGTAGGTACCAGTACACTATTAAAGTACAGTATTCTAATATGACCTTGTTAGTATTGGTAAGTTTAAATAACGGTCTGCGCGAATTTCGAATTTCCGCCCCCCCCCCCATTTGTGCATTTGTCGACGGAAAAGAGGCAACCATCAGATTTTGATAGGGGCATTTATGAAAAAGGGATAGATTCCTTAAAAGAAAGGAAAAGGGGCATGTATCATTGTTAAAGGGGTAATTATCGGAGGTGAAAAGAGGCACTGACCTTAAATGAAAAGAGGCACTTATGAGAATAAAAAAGGGACACTAATAATAAAGGGATATATGCATTTGTTGAAAGAAAAGAGGCACCAAGTAGATTTTAATAGGGACATTTATTTGAGGTGAAAGGGGGTTTTTATGAAAAAGGGTAAGGGCACTTATAAGAAGGAAAAAGAGCATTTATTAGGAAGGGAAAGCGGCACGTGTCAAAATAAAACGAGTATCTCTCAGAATTGAATAGGGTCATTTACCAGAGATGAAAAGGGGCACTAGCATGAGAAATAAAAGGGACTATTTTCTTCGGTGAAAAGGGGCATTTATGAGAAGGGACATGGGGCACATGTGAAAATATAAGGTGCGCTTATCCGAGTTAAAAAGATGTAGTTATTAAAATGGGAAGGGGTAATTCTTACAAAGGAAAAGGAGCACTTGTCAAAGTAAAAAGGGCACCTCTTAGATTTGAATAGGGCAATTATCAGAGGTGAAGGGGGTGCTTTCTAGGGTACTTGAAAAAGTGGGAGGGCACTGTGCCTCCCTGGCCCCCGGGAGCGCCGCCTCTGTATTTGCCTGACTATAATGCTTCCACACAAATGGCAATGCCCATCCCTCCCCCTACGCAGATAGCAGCCAAGCCCTTCTTGACATTGGTCCTTTTCATGGCGTTTATTAGGGTGACCACGATGCGAGTTCCTGACATGGCTAAGGGGTGGCCCAGGGCTATGGCTCCCCCGTAGATATTGACCTGCACAGAGAGAGACAGAGATAGAGAGAGAGAGAGGAAGTGAGAGAGAGCGTGCAGAGGGAGAGATGGAGGGAGGGGAGGGGAGGGGAGGGGCAGAGAGAGGAGAGAGAGAGAGAGAGAGAGAGAGAGAGAGAGGAGATGGAGAAAATGAGAGAAGAGATATAAAAAAGGAGAAACATAAAGTCCATAAAGTAAACAGGGACAGAGAAATGACGTACGAAATGGAATGATAGAGAGAAAGAGAGAGAGAGAGAAAGAGAGAGAAAGAAGAAGAAAAAAGATACGATCAATAAGTCGTGTAAAACAAAACTCATAATTCATTTCAAGTTTATGATAAAACTCTAATCGTTAGAAGAGTATTTCACCGACTAATAAGGTTCTCCATGCTATGTACGTTATAAGCTCTGCTCTCATGTGTATTTCGGTCTACTTAGATGAGTTTATATTCTGTAAAATATACTGCAAAAGCCTTGCATACAGCTAACAGCATGTTTGCCCCTGAATTGTTATTTGTTTAAACATAAAATTATTCAAAATTACCTTTGACATGTCAATACCAAGCTCCTTCGTGACTGTGAGAGCCTGTGCTGCAAATACCTCATTCAACTCAAATAGATCAACATCACCAATGTTCCAGCCTGCTTTCTCAAGCTAACATGAAAGGAAAAGAACAAAAACAGAACAGTTAAGATAATGAGTGATGCATTCTGTTTTTTTCCTAATAACTAAACACCTTAAACAGGCACTTTATTTGTGAACATATAGTGCCATCTTCTTGTACTTTTGCAACACTTTTCCTAGCCGCGATATGCGTAAAACAGGCTCTTGCTTACTAGTTGATATGCAATCATGTTAGATAATTACGAAGATCTATATAGCAGCTTCTTTCAGCTTGAGGTCCTGACTCGTCCTATGAACGATACAATCATAACATTGTAATCTGATTTTGTGCAAATCACGGAGATTTTTACTTGTCATAAACATAAATGCCCATCAACTGATATCCGATGTGGCCTTTTGTCCCTGTCCGACTAGAAAGCCTAGAACACACCAAACTTTCACACTTTCTTACAACCATTAACTAGAATCCCCCTTTTCTGAAAACTTCTCTGTAAAACCATACAAAGTTAGGTGTGATGGTCTGAATATTCATGGACCAGCATGTTCTTTAAGTTTGTTGAGGTGGCACTTCCAGTGTTATTACAATTCTTATGACAAATAAGAACCACAAACATGATCTCAGATAATAATGTCTTCAGCAGTGGAAGACTGGGATGTCCTCAAATGGCCCACCTGCCTCATCTATACTTACAGCTTTCTTGATGGCAGGAATAGGACCAGACCCCATGATAGCTGGATCCACCCCGGCCTGGCCCCACGAGGCTATCCTTGCTAGAGGTGCCACGCCCCTTTTCTGAGCCTCGGACTGCTTCATGAGAACCACTGCTGCTGCTCCGTCATTCATACCTGGGCGAGAGGTAAAGTAGAAGAAGTAGTAAATCTTCAATAGCAGGTGCTTATTTTGTGTTGCTAAACAGTGTTGCTAACAGTTCTGAAACTTGTGCGCGTGTAGATCTATACGAAGAGCATAATATTCCAAAATGAGCTAAATCTACTTTTGTTTAGTTATTGATAACAAAAACATTGTTCACTTAAGTAACCCTCTTTCAACAAAATTATTTACTTAAATTTTGGGAACAATTATGAAAAATGCACCTTCTAATTTGTCCATAGTCGCCTGGAGTTAATGGGTTAAACGCTTGCACTCATGGGTCAGATTTTCCACCAGCTAAAACGAAGGGGTGAAGATAGTGATAGCAAGAGGGTCAAGAGCAACGTGAACTTACCGCATGAATTTCCCGCAGTAACTGTTCCTGTCGCATCCTCGATAAAGCAGGATCTGAGTTTAGCCATTCCCTCGATGGTTGACCCCTTCCTTGGGTACTCATCAACGTCGTACTCTACCGTGGCCTTGCGCTTGCGGCTCTTGGTCGGCACGGTGACAATCTCTGTAGCGAAGACGCCGTCTTTCTGGGCCTTCTCGGCCTTGAGCTGCGACCCCAGAGCGAACTGGTCCTGCTGTTCACGTGTGATTTTCCATTTCTTGGCCAGGTTTTCAGCTGTCAAAATCAATATTATTTTCACAGATATAATATTCCATACTTGCCAACCTTGACCTCCGAGGACATAATGAGGAATATATTACATTTTGCATGTAAATTACTGTCTTGTCCCGTTCTTGATTCTCAGTGTTGGCATCCCCCTTTCCCCCCTATTTTGTATTTTCTTCTGTTCTTACTTGTTAATTTAATTATATTACCCATTATTCCTAAGGATGATTTTAGGCGTCCACACTAAATGTACAAGCACTGCTTTTTAGTGGACCCTTCTGTTTTCAATATCTATTCCTAAATTGTTGTAAATGTTTATAATTGATTTGTAATGTTTTCAATGTTGGAAACATAAATAAACTGAAAATTGAATTGAATTGCATACTTTTATACAGACAAGGAGAAGAGTATAGGGTTCATAACACTGGATTGAAGGCGATCTTAAAAACGAATCACTTCTCCCAAAGAGAAATAGTTGATGGTTCCTTTTTTTGTAAAATCGTATTTGTTCTTTTATTTGTATTCCATTTTTTGATTTCATTTATGCAAGGTATACATGTGGCTCTGTAAGAAATTTGAAAGAGTTTTTCTTCAACACCTTGTCATGTGAACAGGATACATTAGATCTTGAACAAATTTACTGTGAGTACATGAAAATTCATTTTATGCAACGTTTCAATTCACAAAATAAATAACATGACATGACGAGCAACCCAAGAGGTATTTTATTGATAACAAAATACATAAAAAAGCTCTGTTTTAATTATCATTCCAAATAAGGTAAACATCCCTTTGGCAAACATTCAAACATACTTTATACAAACAAACAAACCAATTAATCTATATGCTGTAATTAAAAAAAAAGGGATGAGAGCGCTAAAAGTAAGTAATGGCTAGATTAAAGAAATTATTACCAGATATTACGATGCTCCAGAGTCCAGACACCTTTTTAAAGTGGTCGTAAAGATATACAGGAACCGTATCTTTAAGAAATGTATTACTCCATGTGTCTTTTTTATTAGTAAAGCATTAGTAAGCCTATTCGCAATGACTTTTTCATTCATTCAGCACGGCTCAGGCGAGCCGATCGGGTAAACATGTTTTGTCGCCATCGCAACTGCAGCAAATTCCCCTATTGACCTAAAATTTGGAGGATTGCGGAAAAGGAGGTTTTAATATGTTTTTGTGCAATAATGAAAGGGAAAATATTTGTTAATTCCTTTACATTTGTATTTTACTTTCATTCAGTTTTCCATTGAATGATATAAAGTTGCATTTTCATCGGATAGGGCAGGGGGAAACAAAAGACGCGCGGTGCCACGGATGACTTCCAAGGGGCCTCTTAGACGGTATCTCCATCCATTACACTCTCCCTAGATAATGTACTTATTGTACCAATGTATACCTGTAATTCCCATGTGGTAGTTATTGAATGCATCCATCAGGCCATCGTGTACTATAAGATCAACCAAAGGTTTGTCACTGACGCCGGATAGACCACTACGAAGATGGACTGCATGGGGCACCTGCGGGAGACCAAACAAAGAAATACATCATTAAAAATGGATCTATGACATATTCATCTGCCAGAATAGGCCATTTTTGTACAAAATTCGATGCACGTTTTTGTGAAGTGCCTCGATACAAATAATGTCATTTACACGTCACAAATATATGAAGCTTTATTTCAATAGTCAGAATACTAATTGCATCAACTACGTGTTGTTATATAGGTGGGGGCCCCGCCCCCCCCCCACTCAGTGTTATTTAGGGTACGCGTATGCATGTTCCCTCCTTTTGAAAACACCCCCTAAGTCCGGTGTGTAAAGTCGTTACGGGCCGGATTTTTGGGAACACGCATGCTGTCCCACCGACCCCGGAGTGGGAGGGGGTGGGTGGGGCAAGCGATAATGTATGTCCTACCTACCTACCAACAACGTTTGTATGCAATTGGCATTCTTACATGGCTAAACAAATGAGGCATTTATATCCTCATCATGTGGTAACTGTTTTTTTCCCCTCAACTACATGTAGTCTGATAGAAATCTGCCTCTTTTAATATATCTTATAACCCCACTATTCAATGGACTTTCATGTTTCTACATGTACACTTAGTTTATGCTCTTTTGCCAAATCCTAAATGATCGTCCAAAGATAATGTTAGTACGTGGGTCTTCATGAAACTGAATTTATTCAACCTGGCTTATGCTTTCCTGAACCCTCCGACCACAATAGAAGAATCTCTTCTGCATACAAGTCATCCATAATATACTACTATAATGGTAGTCTCATAAGACTTCAAACCTTCTTGCATTCTGAATCTTCACAATCAAAATCTAATAAAATCTCGTTTTTTTTTATTTGTTATGATCCCCTTAAAACTCAAACAATGAGCCACCGAAGTGGTGATAGATAAATTATGTGCACATATTTTAATACCAAACTGACTCTTGCTTTCAAAATATCTTGCAACCAAAATATTCAATGAACTATCATGTTTCTACACACTTAGTTGATGCTCTCTTGCCTCTTTTCTTCCTGAACTACTATGAGAGGCGTCGCTGTTTCTATAGGCTCAAGGGAACGTTACATCCTGATATATGACCCCAAGGCGCGCCGAGGTACGCGGCGGGCATGGCTAAAATCACGACTCCAATTTCGCCCAATCAGATAACTAGATTTATCCAACATATTAAAGAGAGGTATAAAAGATATAAGATATAATATTTTTTGTTAATAATCATGATTGTTAATAATTTATTTAAAAGTGATATTGATACAAACCGACCTGGCTCATGCTTTCCTGACCCCCTGCAACCACAATGGAAGATTCCCCACACATGATCGCCTGTGCTCCTAGTATAATTGTCTTCAGGCCGGAACCACACAGCAAGTTCATGTTATATGCTGGTACCTTCAAACGACAGGGAGATGTCAAGAAAGGATGTCATCAAATTCCAAATAATCAACAAGGCCATGTAATACACTTACATCCTCAGACTATCAACTAGCCAAATATTTTATTTTATTGCTATAAAGTACTATTACGTCAAAGGGGTTCATCAAAGAATCAGTTTAAATGGACTGGCTCCAGTATCCACACTTTCTTTCTAAGTAGGAAGGATAGGAATAGTTCCTTTGTCATTTAATTTATTTCCAGCACACATGCATGCAGTATGTGGTCCATTTCAAGACAGGTTTCTTACTAATATTTAAATTGTCTCCCCCTCCAGATGTTCAGAACGATTGCAATTCAGCTTTGAAGCTGTGATGGTTTACCTAGTTAATTGTTTGATTCGTTAAAACCTCTTTTGACCGTACTGGCTGTAAACACGTGACCCATGATTACCTCTTTGACACATCAATGACCCCTGACCTTTCCAATGACCTCTATACCCAATGTTTCTAATCATTATTATCACCTCGACTGGTATCCCTGCATTCATACTGGCCTGTCTGGCAGGGTTCTGACCTTGACCTGCTGTGTACACCTGACCCATGATGACCTCTGACACATCACTGCTTCTGACCTTTGACCTCTGCAGGGCTTCCTTGATGACTATGGTGCCCAGATCATGAGCTGGTATAGTTGACAGTACTCCATTCAGACTGCCTATTCACAGTATAGAAGCAATGATAAAACACCATGCATTTACACATTCATCAAGCAATGATAATACTAATACACTGCGTTTATATAGTGCTTAGTCATCGGATTCAGAATCGCCCGCTCACAATGTACTCGCACATTTTCCACTTCTTGAGGAGCATTTCAACCATGTACTATTTTACAGACTCTCACAACTTATGCTGAGCAAACTAAAGTGACTTGCGTATCCTATCGGATACCCATTTAACACCTGGGTGGATAGTGGGGCTGGGATTTGAACAGTGTCCAGTAATCTGCAGTCTGGTGACCTATCCACTAGACCACAACACCTCTACACAGCAAGAATGTTATGACCATTTAAACATCGCTTTTTTATGTGCCTTAAAAAAACGTCAATATCTGTCAAGTGCAGATTTCTTTGTCTTTGGACATGATTTCGACCTTGGATGATAACTGGAAATATCAGACGCTCTTTCTAATATTAGGTAAAATGATTTAGTGGAGTGAAATTCCTGAGAAAGAACTAAAATGATTCTCTTAATTTACCCCATTTATTTTATACACGCAATAAATCTAATCTCAATGTATTGTGAGATCCTATTTAGTGGTCGATACAAATGTTATGACTGAGGAATGGTCAACGATCAAATATCACCTTTACAACCCTAAATGTTGTTATAATTAATTAAATAAAGAACGCACGTGACAAAGTAACAAAGTTTGCAGGAAAAGTTTGCAGGAACCCCCACATCATGGCAATTTCTGTCCGAAGTCGGACAAATACCATACTCCATTTCAACATGTTGACATCCACTTCCCCCAATACACTAGTCGTGGTAGAACGTAGGCTGGGGGCCCCACTGCACTTGGAGCCGACCATGAATAAAACAGAAATTGTCCTAGAATTGAACCCTGGGGCACTCCACATCTTACTACCATCGTCTGTGATTCACATTTTACTAGTACAACATATTGTTTTCGATTACTTAAATAACTGTTAAACCATTCCAATATAATTTCTCTAAAACCATAATATTCCAATTTGTTTGATAAAATTGTGTGATCAGGAAAATCAAAAGCCTTGCTAAGATCTAGAAACAGGCCAATTGGCCAAAACAAAGGCCAACAGGCATTTGTGACCTTATGTATAAACTCGGTGATGGCAGAAGATGTACAGTGTCCCGCTCGAAAACCAATTTATTTAGGAGTAATGATATTGCACTTTTCCAGGAAATTATATCTTATATCTTATATCTCATGAAATCTATTCGTGTAAAATATACAATGTATTCAAAAGTTATAAAATCAAATCATCGACAGGATCTTGTTGATAAGTACAAAAAATACAGAAATGTACTGACCACTCTGCTAAGAAATGCAAAAAGAAAGTACTATTGCGATTTGTTATAAAATAATGTGAAGGATACAAATAAAACATGGGCCATTATCAATGAATTGTTAGCTGGAAAAAACAGATCACCGAGAAGCGCTGAAGTGGACAGACTAATTAAGAAGGTTCATGGAGAAAATATGCAACTTACATCTCAATCTGATATTGTGAATGAATTTAATGACTTTTTTGTAAATATTGGACCGAATTTAGCAGATGAATTGCCGAATACAGATGTAGCATATGGTGATTTTTAGGGCAGAATTATAGAGCAATCTTTATTTTGGAAACCAATAACTGCAGTTGAAGTTAAGAGTCAAGTTCTGCTACTTGATACCAAAAAGGCTTGTGGTCACGATAACATTCCAGTGCAATTAATTAGAGATAGTGCTCCATATATTTCAACATCCACTGGCATATATATTTAACTTGTCATTAGAAACTGGCAAGGTTCCAGATGAAATAAAGATTGCAAAGGTTACTCCCCTACACAAAAAAGGGCCAAGAGAAGATCCAGGTAATTATAGACCAATATCGGTTTTACCTGTCATCGGTAAAGTTTTAGAAAAATTGATAAATATCAGATTAATACAATTTCTAGAAAAAAATGATATATTCTATTACCATCAATATGGATTCCGAAAGAAATATAGCACTAAATTGTCTTTGATCAACTTGATAAATTCAACTTTGAAATCTATAGATCAGGGAAAAGTAACTCTGGGTATGTTCATCGACTTTAAAAAAGCATTTGACACAATTAATCATAATATATTACTAGGTAAACTATCTAGTTATGGCATTCGAGGATTACCTCTAGAATGGGTTAAGGATTATCTCAGTAACCGATTTCAGTTTGTCCAGTGTGGTCAAACGTTATCAGAAAGGCAAAAGATAAGATGTGGTGTTCCACAAGGATCAGTATTAGGGCTAAGTATCGATTGTAACAGTAAATTCATTATTTTTTGTTTTTTGTTAAGGGGTTAGGCTCGACTAGCACATGTGCTATTATCTGGCCCCTTTTACCAACCAATAGTTTCTCTTTCTGTATATGTAATTATTGTATAAAATGTATGGAATGTATTGCTGTTGGTAAAAAATAAATCAAATCAAAGCAAATCAAATATACACGACTATGTACACATTTCTCTAAAATCTTTGACAAAATAGGAAGAACAGACATGATCCATTTTTATAAGTGGGAATAACCGTTGCAATTTTTAGTTTATCTGGGGCAATACCAGTATTTAAAGATAAAATGAAAATGTCACATAAAGGGTAACATAAAATATAAATAACATTTCGCTTTTTATTCACTTACCAATCGCAGTGCGAACGGCTGAAACGATAACAACTGGATCAGACATGATGGCTGATATATTTAGTTGCGGTAAAACCGAATTATCAAAAGTAAAAGAACTCTTTGAAGAGAGATTTAACGTTCTCCAGAAACAGCTGACGCTTAAAAATTAAAAACACTAGCCGCATGGACTCGAACGGGGAAAAAAAAATGAATTCTAGAAAAAAACCCGTAAAACAAAACTAATAAACTGATAAAGATCGTCCGAGATAAGACTGACCTTTGACACAAAACTTTGGACCACTAAAGTCAAAGATCGATTGACGGTAATCGACTTTTTGTTTGTCTGATTCAAGAAGGATATTAAATGAACTACGGGGTTATCATGGTTATCATATAATGTACTTGTTATATTACCCCCCCCCCCTCCAGTGGCGTACGCAGAATTTTTTCAAGGGGGGGGGGGGTTACAATCGGGCCCAAAATTTCGCAACGACTCAGGAAAATATGAAAATCGCGCCGGCCAAAAAGTCACTCAGTGGGGGGGGGGGGGGGGGGGGGGGGGGGGGGGGGGGGGGGTAAGCGGACACTTTTTGTTTTTTGGGGGGGGGGGGGTCCAAAAAAAATCGCAACGACTCAGCCAAGAGGACACTTTTTTTTTCTGGTCTCGAAATTTGTAAATTTGACTATTTGATCCGTTGGGGGGGGGGTAGGTCATCTTTTTTAGGTCAGCCATTGGTATAATTTTAAATTGGTATAAATTTTAATTGTAAAAAAAAAAAAAAAAAATAATAATAATTAAAAGAGGGGGGGGGGGGGTTTCACAAAAATCATACACAAAACATACACATAAAAAAAATCAAGGGGGGGGGGGTTTAACCCCCAACCCTCCCCCCCCCCCCTGCGTATGTGCCTGCCCCCCTCTCCCTCCCTCTCTCTCCCTCCCTCCCCCTCTCCCTCTCTCCCTCTCTATGTCACTTCATCCCTCTCTTTCCCCATCCTCCTCTCTCGATTTATCTCTTCTTTTTCACAAACAACACTATCGTTAACTTTATTGATATCTTTTGTACACACACAGTTCAATCCAAGATTCCATTTGTCATTTTTTATAATCTTAATTTTTTATTTGTGATATCACAACAAAAATAGGAATAAAATGAATGGTAATCTGGTAACATAATCATCATCAATTAACATCTACTGATCAAAATATACAAGGAGACAGATGGGCTTTCTTTTTCTTTACTTTGTCCATTTTATATATAATATGTGTCCAACTCAAGTGTACAGATACAAACAACACTTCATTTCCCTGCACAAGGAGCACAATTTCTATAAAAACTACCATGCTTAATACATTGCCAGTTATACATTGTTTCAAAAAAAAATGCAAGGTGGGTTTCTTGATAACTAAGAAAGCAGTGGTATAGGAAACATTAAAAATAAAAATAGACTTCATGTTATTATTAGCTAATCTTTAACCTTTAGTAATCATATGATTTGTTCCACTGGGGTGTCATCTCAAATTCGTAGTGGGGACATATCATCATTAGTGGAGTCGAAAATGACCCCCTATTTGCAGACTTTCACGAATATTTTCCATGAAATGTGACCCATTTTTGCCCAATGCAAGGTTTAGAATGTGCGCTAAATATAGTCCCATGTTTGGCTTATTGAGTACAAACTCACAAAAAGGATCCCATTTTGAAGGAAATTGGAGTCACAGGTTCCATCTTGAAATATATGACCCTTTTTTATGAAACTTCTTGTTCTTCATAGATAAAAAATTGCCCGTTTTAAAATTCATTTCCTTCACATCTGCAAACACTGAAATGCATGCGATAATCGTGATTATATACCTCACTTAAGAAATCCAGCCATCTGATTGGTCGAATTGCATTCATAAACTTCAACTGTTCCTGTAAAATTCCCGGTAACCATGCATAAAACATTTAATATTTTTAATAACCATGGTTATTAAAAAAATAGGTCAGCCTCCATGGTTACCCCATAGGTTTACATGTTAAAAAATGGTTTGAGCGATCGAGGATACCGTATGTGTGCGAAGGATTGGTCGGTAATTTCAATACAATTGAATCTCGATCGATCTTACCGACAATTTTATCTTGCATTGTTGACATGAAGACGAAAATAAACTTCCAAAAACAAAAAAACAACATCTGCCGATAGATCTTGATCTAAGTTCGTGCCAATATGCATTGCAAAAGTAAAAGAAGGGTGCTTTTGCGAAGCATTCATCACGCCGAAGCCGGTTTCAATCCATTTTAATGTATATATCGTACAAAACTGCCAAGCATATGAACAGCGCGCGATGGCCGAGTGGTGTAAGGCGTTGGTTACAAGATTCATCGCTAATTGTACGCAAGAGTTCGACTCTCACCTTCGACAAAAAAAAAAAAGTATTTTTATTTTTTATTTTTTAGTCTATTTTTTTTCGGCATATAAAAGTATTAATGACTGCTTTAATATTCGAGAAATAGTTGTTTTCATACGCTCTCGGGAAGGTTACAATTGGGCTATTCCCCTCGGCAAGCCTCGGGGAATAGCACAATTCTAACCTTCCCTTGAGCGTAATAAAACAACTATTTCTCTCAAAGCAGTCATTAATACTATAATATTATCTGTATTTTCACAAAATTTAACTATCATGCGTATACAATGTCAATATGAATAGACACCACCAGGATTTCTGCAGCATTTTATTGATGTACAAATCAATTTTCACTACTTCTTGCCAACTAGTGGAGAATACCTGTTGCTATTTTTGTAAAGAACATACCTCTTATCCCCAAGTTAATAGTGATAATATTCTATTAAAAGCAGCAATTCTAGTATATTTTGTACAAAACATATCATTATATAAATATACATGTATCTATATCTAAATATACTATTTCATCTCCACTACATGCACAAACTCAGACATTCTCCTTTGTTTCATAAGAAATATAAGACGTTAGCTTTATCTTTATGTAAACAATACAACATACAAGCACTATGCAAATACAGTGTAGTGTCAATGTTTGCTTTTTCCATGCAAGGAATCGTTGTCATATAAATCATACATGTTGAATACAAATTATTATACAAACAGTCCTGATAGATAAATGTACAATGGCTAGGGAAAGATAGATAAAAAATGCCAAGTATATAATAAAAATTACGATGAGATATCCATTTACCGACAAACCTTGAACTTTGGTGATTATTATGAGAGAGGGATTAACACCCCTTTCATGTTAGGGGTAGACAAAGGTCGAGCCTGGAATCGGTCGGGACTTAAAAACAATTATGTACCTCTGTCTGCTATACTGCATACATTACACAAGAAACATCCCCAAAACACCTGGAAAAAAACATGTATCAATATCCCTGCCACTAAAAGTAACACCATTCTATTCCCCAACCTCCCTCTGAAAGGCAGGGTATTCTACTTCACTACCTCAGATTTACGTATACTGCTCACAATGTCCTGATATCCCACAATGTCCCCCAAGGCATGTCCCACAATGCATTACCAACTGCATGACACAAGCGTGATGATGATTAGGTACACGAACCAGAAATTACTCAATAATAATAATAATAATAATGTTTTATTTACCCAGGGTAGCCACTTCAGTTTATGAAACTGCTCTTCCAGCGGGCCCTGCATAACATAATATGCTATTACTACCCTTCTCCAATCTAATATGCTGAGCGCCTAGATAGAAGGCAGGAGGTCCCATTGTTATAAGTCTTTGGTATGACTCGGCCGGGGTTCGAACCCACGACCTCCCGTTCATGAGGCAGGTGCTCTAACCACTGAGCCACTATGCCCGGTCTCGAAAGATGGTGTAATTGGAAATACACAACAGCAGTGAAAGTGATGTTGATAAAATGCCTGCCTTTGAATTATGAAATGGAGCGATATCCAAGAATAAGTAGAAAAACAAAAAGCAATCAAGATCACAACATACCTGTTTTTAATTATATCCCGATTCAAGGAATCATATGAAAAATGGGAACCAATGCCAGCATTGGCTTCATATAAAAATGTTAATAATAGTACCCTTTTATTTAAAAAAAGTTCATAATGCTGATGATATTAAACATCATTTGTGCAAACATATAGTAGATCATTTAAAGGTAAAGACCAGTATTGGAAACGCCCCAATTTCAAAAAATGAAATGGAAGCTCTCTTTACCAATCATGTGAAAGAATATGTTTGACTAATACATGATGATACAAAATTTGCCGGGAAAACGCCTACTAATTCATATATTTGGTAAATTTGTTTCTCTCATGGACTGTGAGAGATATAGGGTAGTCCCATATACATCTTTCTGTGTATAGTGCTTGTAACTTTACAAAGAATGGGCCAAATTTCTTATCATTTTGATGATTCCAAAACCTTGCAGATGCTAGATGCTAGATGATCAACCTTTTCTGATCGATTCCACAACGTTTCTTTCACAATGCAATCGCATGACCATTACTGGTCTTTACCTTTAAGGGCAACCAAGAATTGATAACAAAGGTAGTTTTGAAGGATAGCAGACAAAAGCAGAGTGACTGATTGTGCAAAGTTTAAACAAAACTGGATAAACAATATAGAAGAGTTCTGAATTTTTTGCAGATGAGATCGCTATAAATATCACTTCAGACTGGTGAATTAATATGGTCGCTGTTTTGTAGTATTGGACAATTTCTCCACTTGTTCTAACATAAGAAATAACCTAGCAGAATCAATTCTTTCTGTAGAGGATCTACCACAACTTCCATTCAATAATACATTCTGTGTACAGTTCCATGTGCTTGGGTGAGAATTGAGATTCTATATTTTGTGTTTCTACACATGGAAGAGTGGTCCAAAATGGTACAGTGAAAGGACCACTATGCCAATATGAGACCTACATACATTTAACATTTAATTAAATCTTGACATCCACATAATTTTTTATTGACAATACACAGACATGTATATTATAAGTTTTAATATGATATGTAAAATGAGTTTAATCATTTACAGCATAATAAAGATTGGAATTATTTCAGAAAAGGCTGAAACATTACACAATCTTAGAGATTCAATGAACCCCTCAGAAATGTCCTTATGTTCTGGAAAACTAGGAAAAGCACAATGTACCGGGAAACAATATGATGCGACAAATGCCCTAGTTACAATATATACATTTTTTCCACAAAATTCAGTACGGAATGAAATGACAGCGAGGTGCAGAATACCAAAGGGTTTAAAAAGTATGTACTCATGAACAAAAAAGTATATACATACTTATACAAGAGCAATGTATCATTCATTTTTTTGGGGAGAAGAGGGTGAAGTAATGCATTACCGTATGTATCTCCAAACCATTATACACTATAAATTCCTATAAAAATACACCTAAAAAATAAGATTATGAATAACCCTTGTATAAAACAACTTAATTCATGATTCATGTGTATCCAACAGTACTATGAAATAAGAATATATGAAACATCTAATATCCATAAATCTAAATACAATTTGAATTTGAATTCGTTTAAAATTGGTATGTACACTATATACATTATATGTCCATACATGAATCTTCAATATCCAAACTACTGCATAGGTCTAATCTATTTCTACAGATCTATTATGCTGGGGAGTGTTTCACAAAGACTAAAATCGACTTTAAGTTGGACTTTACTATGGCAGGCCTTTCATGCCACTGTTTGGTCTCACCATTATGATCTTTAGATAATATTTTTTCCTTTAATAATGAATCATCAAAAAAAGGAAATTCTGTAGATATGTGACTGTGACTTTGTTTACGTCCCTTGAGAGACCAATGCCAGTAAATGGTGAGAGCAAACAGTGGCATGAGTGGCCTGCCATAGTTAAGTCCAACTTAAAGTCGATCTTAGTCTTTGTGAAACGCCCCTGAATTTTATCTTTAATTTTTACATTAAATCCTTTGACTACTGGAACTGGGTTGCTCCTGTTTTACAGTGTAAGCCTACGGGAATGAAACATTTCAACTGGTTAAATTCTACATCATTTCAGGTGTCACTATACAGACCAAGCATGTCCAATGGGGTAACAGTACTGATTGAGATCCAATGATATACAACATGTTGAAAACAACAACCAGTAGTCTTGCAAGGGCTCACACGTATACAGTCAAACCTGTCTATAGCGACCGCCCATGAGAAACACAAAAAGTTGTCTTTGTAGACAGGTTCCTTTAGTACATGTTTCAATAAGAAACCATTTTCAAGGGAAACAAAAAACATGGTCTTTGTAGACAGGTGGTTAATAAAGCATGTTTGACTGTACATGTACCATTTGTATCTTTAGACTGAGCAACATTGGTCTGAATTCACAGTGAAGCACCAGGCTATGCCAACCACACCTTCATATCAGAAGAAGAAGAAAAAAAACAAAAACATTTTTTGGTGTGTTTTTTCCTTCATTCATCGGGGCTCATTTTAGATGTGCATCTGCAAAAGCAAGATTTCCTATAAACAGTGATGCTCATGTATGCATCTTTGCTCTTCCCGAGAGCTCTGTTTGGCCGTAAATATCTCCATACACACGTATCAATACTGCATTAAGGTCGATGGCAGGGCAGTCAACGAATCAAAAGTTCTCAGAACAGGTCTGAAATATTCATAGGACGATGGTATGGCCTGGCGGATGGGCAACACCCAGATGTAAAGACTGATCCAGTCCCAAAACATCTCCATACCTACATACCGTCCTTGTTTTCACGAAGTGACGGTAGTGAAAAAAAATTGCATTCACTTTGCGTTACGGTTTTCCTCACTACCGTCACTTCGTGAAAACAAGGACGATACTATCGCTACATGTAGGTTGATGTGTCGTAAGGCTAGGGCGGTCGTAACAAGTCATAACAGGTCTGAAGTATTTATGGTTGGATAGGCAGCACTGAGATGTACTTTAAAAACTAATCCAATCTATAGTAAAATGTTTTCATCAAAAGTCTATTTTCTTTGTCCAATGTCTCTTCTTGTGATCACCCAGCGAACATGCAGATGCATTTCTCATTACTACCAGCATCAAGAAGTAGTCTGTAAAGAAGAAATACGGATACAATGAAAAAAAAATGTAAAGACCAGATCAAAATATCAAATTAACTCTCGTCACATATTTGTTTGAAAAAAAGTAGATGTAGTGGGTTTCAGTGCAATTCAATTTTGGATTTCTTCAAAACAACAAAATATGGGGACCTTGTTCATTGTAAAATATATAATGAATGTACTGTAATCCATTTAGGGAACAGGATTAGGATTAATGTTACAAAAGAACAGCAGATAAAAATAGCCCAGAACAAGATAAACACCTGCAAATTTGTTTATCTTCATCAATCTCTAATCAAATGAAAGTTTATTGATTTTGTAAAAATGATTTTGGATAATACAGGTACTTGTTGTATAATAAGCTTCCATTATGATTCTACTATACATAATGTACTTAACTTTGTAATTAATCTTAGTATCATATTTGTTTATGGATTTAATTTGTATTAATATTTTTAACAGGGCCTCATGGAAAAACCAGCTTTAAAGGTGAAATGAGTTGTCCTGTGTAATAATCAGAATTGATTAATTGAATATATAAATAAAATAATTAAATGAATGAATGAAGTATTAATAAATGAGCAAAAAAACCAACAACAAACAAATAAATGAAAAAATAATCATATTACTAAATAAACAAAGGGATTCGCTCCTTCTTCCTTGTAATACAAGTTCTTTAATTAAATTTATGTTCCTACGTATAAATTGTATTGTTTGAAAAGATGTCAAATATGTTGTCAAATTGAATGGAAGAAAATAAATGTTCATTTGAATTGAATCGAAACAGATAACTAACTAATTAACTAACTTTATGTATTAATTAATAAAAAAACATTGAATAAATAAAGTAACAGATAAATAAACAAATAAATAAATGAGAAAAAAATTGGACCTACTGGTAAGCCGTGTTCATGAATGGTGTAGGTCCACAAATGGCAAAGACGGGAGTTTCTTTGGGTCCATGCTTGGGTATCATCTTGCCCAGCAGGTCTTTACTGATGCGACCCGTGAGACCCGTCCAAGACGGCGCACCTTCAGCAGACAGGATGTGAGTGACTTCAAACCTGAGGGATAGTATCAGATATTGTGAAAATATTTAACATGTAGTTAAGATCTGATCATGCGATTACATTAAGAAAGCAAATTCTGGAAAAGATTGAAAAAGGCAGATTTATGCAGCATAGGAGTCTTAGCTCAAATGTGAGTTTTGGAATCATTAGTACGATGAACAGAAATTGATCTTGTAAAAGTCACTCTACTTACTACTCACTCTACACAGGAATGTGTATATGGGATTACACAAATATGTGGCGTGAGAGTTTGGTCCAAGCACTTTAGTAGATGCTTCTCGTCACATACTGAACATGAAGGCATTAGAAGAGCCATCATTTTCAGGGCACACGTTTCTTATGATATTCTTTCACAATGAGCATGTGACATATTTAAGCTTGCATCTAAAAGTATTCAACAAAGACCCTAATTTAAATAACCAGTCCACCTTTCACTCTATATGTCTTCAATGATGTACATGTTTGTAAAACCACTTCAAATTCACTCCCAATTCAGTTATTCAGATAGAATCATTTCTGACAGCTCTCACCTTCCTTTGCTTTGCTCTGCACACTCGTCCAAATGTTCCCTCCATACAATATCCTTCTGAGTCTTGTTGAAGAAGAGGAGTTTTAATTTGCTGCATTTTCATTCCAGAAAAAGGGGAAAAGAATGCAAAATCATGTAGTAACAGTAGAAATTTTAGCTTCTTGCAGCGGTACACTACATGCTCCTCTATTGCACGGTTACAACGTAAAAGAAGCATAACAATAGAATAGAAGAGATGAGAGAGAGAGAGAGAGAGAGAGAGAGAGAGAGAGAGGATGGAGAAGAGAGGGTTGGGGGTAAAATGGGGAAGAGATGGGAGAGAGAGGGAGAGAGGGAGTGAGAGGAAGAGGGAGGGTACAGAGAGGAGAAAGAGAGAGGGGAGGATAGGGAGAGAGGAACAAATGAGACAGGGGAGAGGATGGAGAGAGAAATAGAGAAAAAAAGACTGAGAGAGAGACAGAGACAGAGAGGGAGAGGGGAGGGAGATAGAGAGGGACAAGGGGAGGGGAGGGGGAGGAGGGGGGGGGGGGGGGGGGGGGGAGGAGGAGGTAGAGAGAGAGAGAGAGAGAAGGAGATAATGAAAGGAAGAGGTGGAAGGGAATGGGGACAGTCTTCATAATATGTCAGTGTACCAATTTTTTATCTTTTAAAAATAAGAGAAAAAAAAGAGGTGAGAATGTATCTGACAAATTTATTTATATATACTTTCTGGTATAGACACACTATAACTTCACCATAATATTAGACTTGAGTCTAACGTTCTTTATTTACCTATCTATAAAATGAAAGTTTAGCTAACATTAAGCCTCATCAAGATTGGTATGCATTTCAATACAAACTCTATATCCTAACCATGTGAATCTCCCTCTGTGTGACACGACTATGATTTTAAACAATTGTGCATTTTTAATTGATGCATCTTTTTTGTGAATAGGTTCCGTTTCAAGCACATTTCAATATGAAATACCGCTTCAAGGGTAACAAAAATACGGTCATTATATACAGGACGGCCAGGTGGTCTTTGTATTCTTTCCCGACGGGTGGTTTGCCTGTTTGACCGTGGTTGAGCACTTAAAGCCCGTCTGCACTAGTTTGGCCAGGAGGGATTAGACCTCCCTGCATGGTCACTGACAGGTGGTTATCTCATCAAATCAGCTCTTCATGAACATATTAAAGAAAAAGGGGATCATGGGGGACCAACATGCACCGTTTAGACAGTGTTTGCTATATAGAGGGCGCAAGTAGCTATAAGTAGTGCAGTGGGGCTTTCAATTCTTGGTTGGGATCCAAGGCCCATGATGTGAGGGGGTTTCTCCCACCCCACCCAACCCAACACCCCCTACCCATCATAATGAAAGTGTGGACTTTGTCATTATACCATTTGGAATCTTCAGCCAGGCCCATCTGGATGAGTTTAACCATGGGCGTGAAGCCCGTGCCTGCCGCGATAAAATAGACCACTGTCAGCTGCTTGTATGTACACTCGTGATCGAAGGTACCACTGTGGTTGCTCATCTCTATATTGTCACCTTTAAAGAGAAAAATCAAAAGAAAAGATTCACAATTTAAAGCCTGTCTGTTCTAGTTTGGCCAGGAGGGATTACACCACCCAGCGTGGTCACTGACAGGTGGTTATCCTATCATCTCAGCTCTCAATTAACATAAGAAAAATAGGATCATGGAGGACCAACGGGCACCGCTTAGGCATTGTTTTCTATATAGAGGGAGCAAGTAGCTATGTACAAGTAGTGCAGTGGGGATTTAAAATTGCAATATTTGAACATGCGTGTAAACTTGAAAGAAGCATGATGATGTAAACCACAACGGTATCAATAGAATTTGACATTAGATATCTAAGCATACATGTACCGCACATTAACAAGCATATTCCCCTCACCCCCTCCTTCTCTCTCTCTCTCTCTCTGTCTGTCAAACTCTCTTTGAAAATTTCATTGTCTTGTGCTCACTATAACTTTACTTTGGCAAAACATGATTGTATTTTTCTTTCCTTCTCATTTCATCCTTATGACCCTGTGTCTCCCTGTGTCTATTTCTCTCAGTTTCACTCTCTGTTTGTCTGTCTATCTCTGTCTCTCTCTGTCTTTATCTCTCTATGTCAGTGCTTCTCATACTTCTCTTTAATCATCTTAACCATCCTGATCACAATAATCATCATCATCATAATCATATCCCCCACTACCATTAACTTCTTCATCATCAACTTCTCTTTCTCTCTCTCTCTATCTCTCCATCTCTTGTTCCCGCTCCCCATCTCTCTCTCTCTCTCTCTCTCCATTTCCATCTCCATCTCCCACTCCCTCTCTCTCGCTCCCTCTCTCTCTCTCTCTTGCTCTCTCTCTCTCTCTATCTCACTCTCTCTCTCTCTCGCTCCCTCTCTCTCTCTTGCTCTCTCGCTCCCTCTCTCTCTCTCTTGCTCTCTCTCTCTCTCTCTCTCACTCTCTCTCTCTCTCACTCTCTTTCTCTTTCTCTCTCTCTCTCTCTGAATACATTCTCTGCTTACCTTCTTTGAGAGTTGCTAAGTGTTGGGTGAACTGCCCCTGTGGATATACTTTGAGCATGAGGTGAACGCTGTTCCTGGAATTGGGTCCATCCGTCTCCTCGTCCCCGTCGTCCTTGAGTAGACTTGGGAAGACTGGTGTATATGGTCTGCTCACTTCTTCCCCTGTAACAGAACAAATCTCACGTGTGTTGTATTCACATTGATAACTGAGTCTATGGTCACATGTCACAAAGAATAAATATACAAAGAATACATGTCGTTTTCAATGTTAATAATTTTAATTCATTCTTATATGGCGCTTTTCAGGACCGCAGGCCCTCTCCTTAGGGAGCATTCCAACCAGGCGTCATTTTTACAAGCGCGCACTTGCTCATCTAACCACATTAACTTTCAAATCCTACCAGGTACCCATTTAACACCTGGGTGGAGAGTGGCAAATGTAGATCAATGCCTTTCCAAAGGACATTAGTGCGGCGGCGGGACTTGAACCACGAACCTTGTGATACACAGTCCGGTGACGAATCTACTCGACCACCTCTATGCATAATTGCCCTTATCGTCAAGGATTACCAGAGGAGGCCATGTTGCCAACTTATCCAAGATTTGTGTGAAATCCTCTGGGGCTACAGCCCATGAGACCAACACCCCAGGAGACCGACAATGCCAGTCTAATGGGCCTTCTGGACGATTTCTGAAGATTCAAAAGACCAATATTTCTTCTATTGACTTTTTCTATGTTCACAAGACCGACATTGTTGGTCTACTGGAATGTCCCGATCCTCAGAGTCAAACAAGTTAGAAGTTGCTTACCCTTGATGTTTGCTTTGAGATAGACATGATTTCCGACTGGAACTTTGAACTGTGTGCCCTCTGGAAGGTCAAAGGTCATCAGATACGTGTCGTGCGTGACGGCTGTCCGTTTACTCAGTGTACAGGATCTGAAGGCAGGCTCTGTTATAGATGAAAAACATATACAGTAAGTGAAGATTGTATTAGATATACCAGCTTTGACATTGGTGATTTGATTTGGCGAGATCTTTAAAATATGACTGTGGCAATGTTAAATTTTAGATTTTAGAGAAAGGTAAAGGTTAGGGTTCAGGCTTGGTATAGTTGGTAAGTATTTGAAAATAACCTTGGGGCATTCATCACCAGAGCATGCGTTGTACAATCTTAAAGTGGGAGGATGGATTTGTAAGCCACAGGTGAGAATTAAAATTTAAAAAATTATAAATTTGGAAGAAGGTAAATCATAAGAACTTTAATAATATGATAGGTATACAATTATTTGGTCCACTGGTTGCTTTCTTACAAGTACAGACATGCAAAAAATTCAAAATCCTGATGTTGATGCCACAACAAAGTCTAAGTTTACAGACCTGAAATGACATTTGACCTTGACTTCGTCACCTAAAAGACTAATCACATGATTGGTGATACTTGATAACCCTTGTTCAAGTTTCATGGAATAGGAATGTATACTTTTTCATAACAATTCAAAATCGTAACCTTTGGAAATTTTTTGATGTCAATGCCACAACATAGTCTAAGTTTGTTGACCTGAAATGACCTTTGACCTTGACTTAGGGACCTGAAATTCTACTCACACAATACGGGATACTTGATAACCCTTTGGGCCAAGTTTCATTGAATAAGAACTTATACTTTCAAAATTATATTAAAAATTCAAAAACTTAACCTTAGTTTTTTATGTTGACGCCGCCGGCAACAGAAAAGCGGCGCCTATGTCTTGCTTTTGCTATGCAGGCGAGACAAAAAGTAAACATTACAATGAAGCATTTAAGCACCTTTTAATGGCCCTTGTAATGCACATGCAAGTACAAATGCTTGTTTATTCAAAGTGTGTCTTTTTTGTCAATGAGTATAATCTAACACTCACCATAATCGGTGGCAGGAGCTGTCTTCTTGTGGTCATCTAGAGGGAGCCCTAACGTTGTCCATTTGATGTTTGGGTTCTTCTTCTTCAGCCAAAGGTCACATCTCATTGGCATATTACCCTTGCGCTGTGTTACTGTAGAGTGAGTCAGTCCGTACATGAAAAGAATGGGCATAGTATTGTTATTGTAAATGTTGAAGCCTGCACTTTCCAAATACATTTTCGTCTTCCATTTTTTGATTGAAGGATTTCATTGATGTATTCCATGCTAGCAGTCCAAAGACTGAATTTCACTAATTACTAGATAATGTACATAATAAAAAACAATGATACAAAATTCCAACATTTCATTCAATAATATTCTGCTTTTATAAAGCGCTTAATACATCGATGATGTCTCTAAGCACTTCACAGATATATTACCCCGGTCATTGGATTCATGCTTCCCGCACACAATGTATGCACACTCTCCACTCCCTGGGTAGCATTCTAGCCAGGCATCATTTTACAGAAGCTCACTATGCTGAGCAAACTTCATTAACTTTTGCATACTACCGGGTACCCATTAACACCTGGGTGGAGAGTGGCAAATGAAGATTAACGTCTTGCCAAAGGACATTAGTGCAGGGCTGGGATTTGAATCCCAGACCTTGTGATCTATGATCCACTAGACCACAACACCTCTACAACTCAATGCTAGTAACAGACATTAAGAATCATTACCTTCAAAAGATGAATACATTGTAATTTCACATTCTTAAACTATGACTGACATTTGTGAGCATGTTTTCATTTAGTAATTCAGAATTGATTTCTTTTTTTCTGCAAATTGTCATAGGAATAGAAATAATTGCAAATTCATCGAGAGTATATTCAATGGATTAACAAGACTCTTGCATTCGCTATCATAATAACGAGTATAGAGAACATGTTTGTTTGCAGTTCATGATATCATGATTCAAAATTCAAACTGCAATTACAACAATTTCAGAATTATTGTGCACTACACAATATCACCTGAAGAAAAAAAAGCAGCCGCAAAATGAAATAATATGGAAGCATAGTCTACTTTTAACACATAGGGTTAAGCAGCGGTAAGTACACACAAAGGCGTTCATTGTGCATAGCACATTTCTCATCTCCATATGCCATTCATTAACACTTAAAATATATTGATACTTTGTTACTGTCTTCTTTTCCAGGCAGTTTACCATGTCAAAAGTGAATGACGCTTATTGGGGCATAGACATGTTCAATGAGACATGTGCAGACATAGCTAAGGCATGCATGACCTTGCTTGTGATAAATTATAAATTAAAGAGCTTAATTCCAAAAGGAGCTAAATCAACTTTTGATGAAAATTGAGTTATTGATATCAGAACGTTGTTCACTTTAATAAGTACCCGTCTTTCAACAAAATTATTGACCTAAATTTTGGGAGCAATTATGAAAAAATTGCACCTTCTAATATCACTTTTCCATAGACGCCTGTACAAAATCTGGTAAACAACTTTGTTTTCCTCTGAAGTTAAAAAAAATGGATTTAGCTTCTTTTGGAATTAAACTCTTCAATTATAGAAAGCTCTTCTGTGCATTTAAACTTGCACGTACATGTTCTTTGTATATTGAAATTGTGCACACGTTAGTTTTCACAATTCTGTCTATTTCATTGCATCATTTAGAAGATATCTGATGCCATGGAAATACAAAAACTATCTCTAATAAACTAAATAAAGAATGACATCATAAAATCGAAAGAACATACATTTAAAAACAGTCTAAAATGAAATAGAGACCTAAATTACTTTATAAAAAATTAATACCTTGGCTATCTAGTAAAAAGTTCTAATAAGGACATGGGCACACGGGCATGTTGTTATGCCTGCCAATCACTCAATACTCAAAGCATTCATTCAATGTACATGTACATCTCGTCGTGCTTTCAATTTTTTTTGTAGATTTCAGAAGAGGAAAAAAAAAAGAAGGTTAAAATTTATTAAAGACTCAAAATTTAAAGTTAAGGAAAGGGATAAGTTCTAAACAAATCAGAAAACTTAAAGATAACTAAATCATAACTTCATAAAAAAACTAGATGGAATTTTGACTGCGCGCAGTTGAAAATGATGCCTCCGCCATAGAGCAATTTAAACAAGTTTGGAGTTTAAATCTCCAGTGGTTCTTGAGATATCATGATAACAATCTCAATGTATGGAATTTCATAAGTTGACCTCTGTGACCCTTGACCTTTGACCTACATGCTCCAAAATCTAATCAAAATGTCTTCCTATGGTGATACACACTATCATTAAGTTTGAAGTTTAAATCTCCAGTGGTTCTTGAGATATTATGATATGGTGATACATACTATCATTAAGTTTGAAGTGAAAATTCTAGAGTGGTTCTTGAGATATCGCGATAACGATCTCAATGTATGGAATTTCATGAGTTGACCTCTGTGACCCTTGACCTTTGACCTACGTGCTCCAAAATCTAATCAGATTGTCTTCCTATGGTGATACACACTATCATTAAGTTTGAAGTTTAAATCTTGAGTGGTTCTTGAGATATTTTGATAACAATCTCAATGTATGGGATTTCATAAGTTGACCTCCGTGACCCTTGACCTTTGACCTACGTGCTCCAAAATCTAATCAGATCGTCTTCCTATGGTGATACATACTATCCTTAAGTTTGAAGTTTTTACATCTCCAGTGGTTCTTGAGATATCATGATAACAATCTCAATGTATGGAATTTAAAAGTTGACCTCTATGACCCTTGACCTTTGACCTACGTGCTCCAAAATGTAATCAGATTGTTTTCCTATAGTGATACACACTATCACTAAGTTTGAAGTTTAAATCTCCAGTGGTTCTTGAGATATCATGATAACAATCTCAATGTATGGAATTTCATAAGTTGACCTCTGTGACCCTTGACCTTTGACATACGTGCTCCAAAATCTAATCAGATCGTCTTCCTATGGTGATACATACTATCCTTAAGTTTGAAGTTTAAATCTCAAATGGTTCTTGAGATATTACGCTAACAAACTCAATACAAGGAATTTCATAAGTTGACCTCTGTGACCTGTGACCTTTGACCTACGTACTCCAAAATCTAATCAGATCGTCTTCCTATGGTGTTAAACACTTTTCCCGAGTCTTAAGTTTAAATCTTAAATGGTTCTTGAGATATTGTGATAACGGTCAAATGGGACGGACGTACGGACGGACAACCCGAAAACATGATGCCTCCGGCACCACCTTCGGTGGCGGAGGCATAAAAATAATATTTTCCTCCAAAATGCTGAACCACCCCGGCCCTTACCATTTCGGCCCGAAAGTTGTGATAACTCAAATTTTTCAATATTTGCCACTACGCCCCTTTCAAAGGGATGTGGGGGTCAGGATCCATCTTATCGCATGTATGTACTTTCATTATGGGGAAACTAGCCTATTCAAAAAATATAATATTTTCCTCCAAAATGCTGAACCAGCCCGGTCCTTAGAATTTCGGCCCGAAAGTTGTGATAATTCAAATTTTTACAATATTTGCCCCTATGCCCCTTTCAAAGGGATATAGGGTTCAGGATCCATCTAATCGCATGTATGTATATTCATTATGGGGAAACTAGCCAATTAAAACAAATTAATATTTTCCTCCAAAATGCTGAACCACCCCGGCCCTTACAACTTCGGCCCGAAAAGTTGTGATAATTCAAATTTTTACAATATTTGCCCCTACCCCCCTGTCAAAGGGATATGGGGGTCAGGATCCATCTAATGGCATGAATATACATTCAATGTGGGGAAACTAGCCTATTCAAAAAACACAATATTTTCCTCCAAAATGCTGAACCACCCCGGCCCTTACCATTTCGGCCCGAAAGTTGTGATAACTCAAATTTTTCAATATTTGCTACTACTCCCCTTTCAAAGGGATATGGGGGTCAGAATCCATCTAATGGCATGTATATACATTCATTGTGGGGAAACTAGCCAATTCAAAAAAAAAAATATTTTCCTCCAAAGTGCTGGACCACCCCGGCCCTTACCATTTCGGCCCGAAAGTTGTGATAACTCAAATTTTTCAATATTTGCCCCTAGCCCCCTATCAAAGGGATATAGGGTTCAGGATCCATCTAATCGGATGTATATACATTCATTGTGGGGAAACTAGCCAATTTAAAAAAAATAATATTTTCCTCCAAAATGCTGAACCATCCCGGCCCTTAGAATTTCGGCCCGAAAGTTGTGATAATTCAAATTTTTACAATATTTGCCACTACGCCCCTTTTAAAGGGATATCGGGTTCAGGATCCATCTAATCGCATGTATGTATATTCATTATGGGGAAACTAGCCAATTAAAAAAAATTAATATTTTCCTCCAAAATGCTGAACCACCCCGGCCCTTACAACTTCGGCCCGAAAGTTGTGATAATTCAAATTTTTACAATTTTTGCCCCTACCCCCCTGTCAAAGGGATATGGGGGTCAGGATCCATCTAATGGCATGAATATACATTCAATGTGGGGAAACTAGCCAATTTAAAAAAAATAATATTTTCCTCCAAAATGCTGAACCACCCCGGCCCTTACCATTTCGGCCCGAAAGTTGTGATAACTCAAATTTTTCAATATTTGCCACTATGCCCCTTTCAAAGGGATGTGGGGGTCAGGATCCATCTTATCGCATGTACGTACTTTCATTATGGGGAAACTAGCCAATTTAAAAAAAATAATATTTTCCTCCAAAATGCTGAACCACCCCGGCCCTTACAACTTCGGCCCGAAAAGTTGTGATAATTCAAATTTTTACAATATTTGCCCCTATGCCCCTTTCAAAGGGATATGGGGGTCAGGATCCATCTAATGGCATGTATGTACATTAATTGTGGGGAAACTAGCCAATTAAAAAAAAATAATATTTTCCTCCAAAATGCTGAACCACCCCGGCCCTTACCATTTCGGCCCGAAAGTTGTGATAACTCAAATTTTTCAATATTTGCCACTACGCCCCTTTCAAAAGGAAATATAGGGTTCTGGATCCATCTAATCGCATGTATGTATATTCATTATGGGGAAACTAGCCAATTAAAAAAAATTAATATTTTCCTCCAAAATGCTGAACCACCCAGGCCCTTACAATTTCGGCCCGAAAGTTGTGATAACTCAAAT